CTGTTACACTAGCACACCTGACCAACACTAGCCTGAGGAGAAACACACACACACACACACACACACAGCTGTTACACTAGCACACCTGACACACTAGCCTGAGGAGAAACACACACACACACACACACACAGCTGTTACACTAGCACACCTGACCAACACTAGCCTGAGGAGAAACACACACACACACACACAACACACACACACACCACACACAACACACACACACACAGCTGTTACACTAGCACACCTGACCAACACCTGCCTGAGGAGAAACACACACAACACACACACACACACACACACACAGCTGTTACACTAGCACACCTGACCAACACCTGCCTGAGGAGAAACACACACACACACACACACACACACACCACACACACACACACCACACACACACACACACACACAGCTGTTACACTAGCACACCTGACCAACACCTGCCTGAGGAGAAACACACACACACACACACACACACACACACACAGCTGTTACACTAGCACACCTGACCAACACCTGCCTGAGGAGAAACACACACACACACACACACACACACAGCTGTTACACTAGCACACCTGACCAACCCTGCCTGAGGAGAAACACACACACACACACACACACACACACAGCTGTTACACTAGCACACCTGACCAACACTAGCCTGAGGAGAAACACACACACACACACACACACACACACACACAGCTGTTACACTAGCACACCTGACCAACACCTGCCTGAGGAGAAACACACACACCACACACACACACACACAGCTGTTACACTAGCACACCTGACCAACACTAGCCTGAGGAGAAACACAACACACACACACACACACACACACACACCTGTTACACTAGCACACCTGACCAACACCTGCCTGTGGAGAAACACAACACACACACACACACACACACACACACACACAGCTGTTACACTAGCACACCTGACCAACACCTGCCTGAGGAGAAACACACACACACACACACACACACACACACAGCTGTTACACTAGCACACCTGACCAACACCTGCCTGTGGAGAAACACACACACACACACACACCACACACCACAGCTGTTACACTAACACACCTGACCAACACCTGCTGTGGAGAAACACACACACACACACACCAGCTGTTACACTAACACACCTGACCAACACCTGCCTGAGGAGAAACACACACACACACCACACACACACACACACACACACACACACACACACACACACACACACACACACAGCTGTTACACTAGCAACACCTGACCAACACTAGCCTGAGGAGAAACACACACACACACACACACACACACACACACACACAGCTGTTACACTAGCACACCTGACCAAACACTAGCCTGAGGAGAAACACACACACACACACACACACACACAGCTGTTACACTAGCACACCTGACCAACACCTGCCTGAGGAGAAACACACACACACACACACACACACACACACACAGCTGTTACACTAGCACACCTGACCAACACTAGCCTGAGGAGAAACACACACACACACACACACACACACACAGCTGTTACACTAGCACACCTGACCAACACCTGCCTGAGGAGAAACACACACACACACACACACACACACACACAGCTGTTACACTAGCACACCTGACCAACACTAGCCTGAGGAGAAACACACACACACCACACACACACACACACACACAGCTGTTACACTAGCACACCTGACCAACACCTGCCTGAGGAGAAACACACACACACACACACACACAGCTGTTACACTAGCACACCTGACCAACACCTGCCTGTGGAGAAACACACACACACACACACACACACAGCTGTTACACTAGCACACCTGACCAAACCTGCCTGAGGAGAAACACACACACACACACACACACACACACAGCTGTTACACTAGCACACCTGACCAACACCTGCCTGAGGAGAAACACACACACACACACAACACACACACACAGCTGTTACACTAGCACACCTGACCAACACTAGCCTGAGGAGAAACACACACACACACACACACAACACACACACACACAGCTGTTACACTAGCACACCTGACCAACACCTGCCTGAGGAGAAACACACACACACACACACACACACACAGCTGTTACACTAGCACACCTGACCAACACCTGCCTGTGGAGAAACACACACACACACACACACACACACACAGCTGTTACACTAGCACACCTGACCAACACCTGCCTGAGGAGAAACACACACACACACACACACACAGCTGTTACACTAGCACACCTGACCAACACCTGCCTGAGGAGAAACACACACACACACACACACACACACACAGCTGTTACACTAGCACACCTGACCAACACCTGCCTGAGGAGAACACACACACACACACACACACAGCTGTTACACTAGCACACCTGACCAACACCTGCCTGTGGAGAAACACACACACACACACACACACACAGCTGTTACACTAGCACACCTGACCAACACCTGCCTGAGGAGAAACACACACACACACACACACACACACACAGCTGTTACACTAGCACACCTGACCAACACCTGCCTGAGGAGAAACACACACACACACACACAGCTGTTACACTAGCACACCTGACCAACACCTGCCTGTGGAGAAACACACACACACACACACACACACACACACACACACACAGCTGTTACACTAGCACACCTGACCAACACCTGCCTGAGGAGAAACACACACACACACACACACACAGCTGTTACACTAGCACACCTGACCAACACCTGCCTGAGGAGAAACACACACACACACACACACACACACACAGCTGTTACACTAGCACACCTGACCAACACCTGCCTGTGGAGAAACACACACACACACACACACACACAGCTGTTACACTAGCACACCTGACCAACACCTGCCTGAGGAGAAACACACACACACACACACACACACACACAGCTGTTACACTAGCACACCTGACCAACACCTGCCTGAGGAGAAACACACACACACACACACACACAGCTGTTACACTAGCACACCTGACCAACACCTGCCTGTGGAGAAACACACACACACACACACACACACAGCTGTTACACTAGCACACCTGACCAACACCTGCCTGTGGAGAAACACACACACACACACACACACACACACAGCTGTTACACTAGCACACCTGACCAACACTAGCCTGAGGAGAAACACACACACACACACACACACACACAGCTGTTACACTAGCACACCTGACCAACACCTGCCTGTGGAGAAACACACACACACACACACACACACACAGCTGTTACACTAGCACACCTGACCAACACCTGCCTGTGGAGAAACACACACACACACACACACACACACACACAGCTGTTACACTAGCACACCTGACCAACACCTGCCTGTGGAGAAACACACACACACACACACACACACACAGCTGTTACACTAGCACACCTGACCAACACCTGCCTGTGGAGAAACACACACACACACACACACACACACAGCTGTTACACTAGCACACCTGACCAACACCTGCCTGTGGAGAAACACACACACACACACACACACACACAGCTGTTACACTAGCACACCTGACCAACACCTGCCTGTGGAGAAACACACACACACACACACACACACACACAGCTGTTACACTAGCACACCTGACCAACACCTGCCTGTGGAGAAACACACACACACACACACACACACACACAGCTGTTACACTAGCACACCTGACCAACACCTGCCTGTGGAGAAACACACACACACACACACACACACACACAGCTGTTACACTAGCACACCTGACCAACACCTGCCTGTGGAGAAACACACACACACACACACACACACACACACAGCTGTTACACTAGCACACCTGACCAACACCTGCCTGTGGAGAAACACACACACACACAGCTGTTACACTAGCACACCTGACCAACACCTGCCTGAGGAGAAACACACACACACACACACACACACACACACACACACACACAGCTGTTACACTAGCACACCTGACCAACACCTGCCTGTGGAGAAACACACACACACACACACACACACACACACACACACACACAGCTGTTACACTAGCACACCTGACCAACACTAGCCTGAGGAGAAACACACACACACACACACACACACACACACAGCTGTTACACTAGCACACCTGACCAACACCTGCCTGAGGAGAAACACACACACACACACACACACACACACAGCTGTTACACTAGCACACCTGACCAACACTAGCCTGAGGAGAAACACACACACACACACACACACACACACACACACAGCTGTTACACTAACACACCTGACCAACACCTGCCTGAGGAGAAACACACACACACAGCTGTTACACTAGCACACCTGACCAACACTAGCCTGAGGAGAAACACACACACACACACACACACACACACACACAGCTGTTACACTAGCACACCTGACCAACACTAGCCTGAGGAGAAACACACACACACACACACACACACACAGCTGTTACACTAGCACACCTGACCAACACTAGCCTGAGGAGAAACACACACACACACACACACACACAGCTGTTACACTAGCACACCTGACCAACACCTGCCTGAGGAGAAACACACACACACACACACACACACACACACACACACACACACAGCTGTTACACTAGCACACCTGACCAACACCTGCCTGAGGAGAAACACACACACACACACACACACACACAGCTGTTACACTAGCACACCTGACCAACACTAGCCTGAGGAGAAACACACACACACACACACACACACACAGCTGTTACACTAGCACACCTGACCAACACTAGCCTGAGGAGAAACACACACACACACACACACACACACACAGCTGTTACACTAGCACACCTGACCAACACCTGCCTGAGGAGAAACACACACACACACACACACACAGCTGTTACACTAGCACACCTGACCAACACCTGCCTGAGGAGAAACACACACACACACACACACACAGCTGTTACACTAGCACACCTGACCAACACCTGCCTGAGGAGAAACACACACACACACACACACACAGCTGTTACACTAGCACACCTGACCAACACCTGCCTGAGGAGAAACACACACACACACACACACACACAGCTGTTACACTAGCACACCTGACCAACACCTGCCTGAGGAGAAACACACACACACACACACACACACACACACACACAGCTGTTACACTAGCACACCTGACCAACACTAGCCTGAGGAGAAACACACACACACACACACACACACACAGCTGTTACACTAGCACACCTGACCAACACCTGCCTGAGGAGAAACACACACACACACACACACACACAGCTGTTACACTAGCACACCTGACCAACACCTGCCTGAGGAGAAACACACACACACACACACACACACACACACACACAGCTGTTACACTAGCACACCTGACCAACACTAGCCTGAGGAGAAACACACACACACACACACACACACACAGCTGTTACACTAGCACACCTGACCAACACTAGCCTGAGGAGAAACACACACACACACACACACACACAGCTGTTACACTAGCACACCTGACCAACACCTGCCTGAGGAGAAACACACACACACACACACACACACACACACACACAGCTGTTACACTAGCACACCTGACCAACACCTGCCTGAGGAGAAACACACACACACACACACACACACACACACAGCTGTTACACTAGCACACCTGACCAACACCTGCCTGAGGAGAAACACACACACACACACACAGCTGTTACACTAACACACCTGACCAACACCTGCCTGAGGAGAAACACACACACACACACACACACACAGCTGTTACACTAGCACACCTGACCAACACCTGCCTGAGGAGAAACACACACACACACACACAGCTGTTACACTAACACACCTGACCAACACCTGCCTGAGGAGAAACACACACACACACACACACACACACACACACAGCTGTTACACTAGCACACCTGACCAACACTAGCCTGAGGAGAAACACACACACACACACACACACAGCTGTTACACTAACACACCTGACCAACACCTGCCTGAGGAGAAACACACACACACACACACACACAGCTGTTACACTAACACACCTGACCAACACCTGCCTGAGGAGAAACACACACACACACACACACACAGCTGTTACACTAGCACACCTGACCAACACCTGCCTGAGGAGAAACACACACACACACACACACACACACACAGCTGTTACACTAACACACCTGACCAACACCTGCCTGAGGAGAAACACACACACACACACACACACACACACACAGCTGTTACACTAACACACCTGACCAACACCTGCCTGTGGAGAAACACACACACACACACACACAGCTGTTACACTAGCACACCTGACCAACACCTGCCTGAGGAGAAACACACACACACACAGCTGTTACACTAGCACACCTGACCAACACCTGCCTGAGGAGAAACACACACACACACACACACAGCTGTTACACTAGCACACCTGACCAACACCTGCCTGAGGAGAAACACACACACACACAGCTGTTACACTAGCACACCTGACCAACACTAGCCTGAGGAGAAACACACACACACACACACACACACACACACACACAGCTGTTACACTAGCACACCTGACCAACACTAGCCCGAGGAGAAACACACACACACACACACACACACACACAGCTGTTACACTAGCACACCTGACCAACACTAGCCTGAGGAGAAACACACACACACACACACACACAGCTGTTACACTAGCACACCTGACCAACACTAGCTCTACAGTCTGAAGCCATTACGCTGGTTTAGAGTGTCTTCTGCTCACCAAAGCTGTTATTTATCAAATATCGTAAATAAGAGTGTAATATTACTCCAGTGTAAGTCATCTGTTCTCTATGTGCATATACTGTATCTTAGAGTAGTTTATTCCTGTGATCAAAGCTGAATTTCAACATCATTACTCCACTCTCCAGTGCCTGTGGAGCGCGAGTCTCGTTAAAACGAGTGTGGCTAAAGCTAGTGTCGCTAGAACGAATGTCGCTAAAGCTAGTGTCGTTAAAACGAGTGTCGCTAAAATGAATGTCCCTAAAGCTAGTGTCGCTAGAATGAATGTGGGTAAAGCTAATGTCGCTAAAACGAGTGTCGCTAAAACAAGTGTCGCTAAAGCTAGTGTCGCTAAAGTTAGTGTCGTTAAAGCTAGTGTCGCTAAAGCTAGTGTCACTAAAACAAGTGTTGTTAAAGCTAGTGTCGCTAAAGGTAATGTTGCTAAAGCTAGTGTTGCTAAAGCTAACGTCGCTAAAGTTAGTGTCACTAAAGCTAGTGTCACTAAAGTTAGTGTCACTAAAGCTAGTGTCGCTAAAGGTAATGTTGCTAAAGCTAGTGTCGCTAAAGGGAGTGTCGCTAAAACAAGTGTCGCTAAAACAAGTGTTGCTAAAGCTAGTGTCGCTAAAGGTAATGTTGCTAAAGCTAGTGTTGCTAAAGCGAGTGTCGCTAAAGCTAATGTCGCTAAAACAAGTGACGCTAAAGCTAGTGTCGCTAAAGGTAGTGTGGCTAAAACGAGTGTGGCTAAAGCTAGTGTCGCTAAAGGTAATGTTGCTAAAGCGAGTGACGTTAAAGCTAGTGTGGCTAAAGCTAGTGTGGCTAAAGCTAATGTCGCTAAAGCTAGTGTGGCTAAAACAAGTGAGGCTAAAGCTAGTGTCGCTAAAGCTAATGTCGCTAAAACAAGTGACGCTAAAGCTAGTGTCGCTAAAGGTAGTGTGGCTAAAACGAGTGTGGCTAAAGCTAGTGTCGCTAAAGGTAATGTTGCTAAAGCGAGTGACGCTAAAGCTAGTGTGGCTAAAGCTAGTGTCGCTAAAACTAGTGTGGTTAAAGCTAGTTTTGCTAAAACAAGTGAGGCTAAAGCTAGTGTCGCGGGAGCAGCACCTGTTGTAATGCGGGAACATCATGTTGAGGCGCTCCAGCAGCCGCTCGTACACCGTCTGGGGCTGTGGGGTCGGGGCCCGGTGGGGCAGGGGCTCGTCAAGCCTCTCGGGGGGCTGAGGGGTGGCCCGGCCCGTGGGCGTGGGGGTTCGGGAGGGCAGCACCGGCCCGTAGAACTGGGAACCGGACTGAGGAACCGAAGGCGGAGGAATCGCCTGCAGGACACAAGGATTACCCATCAGCCACTTCGGCCTTCATACTGGCCGCATCTGCATTACCAGGACATTATTTACATTTTTATACATTCAGAAATAACCAACAACAGCCCTAACAGAGCAGGGAGGAGATGAGGAAGTGTTTCCTCCAGAGAAGGACCGCAAGCGATATCAGCGCTCCTACAGACACTGTAATATTCAGTTCCAGGACCTTCAAGGCACTATTTTTCTGGTTCTCAAGGACTACAATCAGAGATCTCACTTATTAAACAAGATCTTTATCTTTCAAATTCTAAAAAAGGTAAATAAATAAAAATAAACAAATAAAACAAAATGGTACATAAAAGCCGCGTTTCCACCGCAATTACCAGGAACTATTTGTCCCAGGAACTTTTTTCCCCCCAGACCGCTTGCTTACTGCGTTTACACCGCGTACTAAAGTACCGGTCCAGGGCGGGAAGATTATGTAGTGACGTTGAACTGCGTGCGACTGCTCTTCCAAGCCTGCGCGTTTGTTTTGAGTTTTGTATGGAGGAGATTCAAGCTTTGCTGCTTTTGTGTGCGATTGGTTTACTAACGAGGTAATTAACAACACGGCAGAAAAGAGACGAGCACCCAAAGCGTATTCAGAAAGCTCGTAATGCTAGATATAAAAGTAGACGTTTGTTATCAGCGGACATTGACCGTGAGATGGATGAGACGAACGCGCGCCATCGGGCAGAAAGAATAGCGTGTTGAGAACCAATCAGCATGTTCAGAAACACGAGTCCCACCCCGAAAGTTCCTGAACTCTGAAAAAGTACCACCTCGCCAGCAGGGACTTTCTGGGGGGGGGGGATTTTTACCCGGACCTTCATTTAGACCCTGGGTCCTGCAGTGTAAACACCGAGTACCACCCCAAACACACCCAGTACCACCCCAAACACACCCAGTACCACCCCAAAGCTCCTAGTTCCTGGGGAAAGTTCCTGCGGTGGAAACGCGGCTAAAGTGCAGCAAATGCGACGGCTGAGGCAACTGACTATTGAGGACAGTATGACAGAGATATCGCTTTAAATCTGATTTATTCTCCCATGAACATATGATTAAGCGGAAGAATAAAAGCTGTATCATATACTTGGATATTTATGAGTAATATCACACTCACAGCCGTGCGAAATGGCTCTACATCAGACGGGCTGCAGATTTAAAGGTGCTGTATGCGTTTCTAGCGGCCTCTAGCGGTGATGTTTCAGAAAGCATCAAGAGCGCTCGTGCTTGTGTGCGTGCTCGATCTCAAGAGTGAGCATTCACTACCGGCCACACGGAGACTTTCAACACAACGGCGAAAGCATCACACAACATGCTGGAAACTAATGTAAACTCCCACTGCAGGTACAATAATAGCCTACTTTTATCAGCTTGACTGAACTAATGCTCTGTGCTCGTCCTTGATAATGTTACAATAAACTGCATTTAGCCCACATGTGATGTTATATAGCATAAGCCATTTCACTAACTATTCGTGTATCTTTCACAATCAGCAATGTCAACATCGGTGAATGTATAATATGATAACGAAAACGGTTAGTGAACTAAACTGAACAAATTCAGTGTATCAGTAAGATCGTAGGAAGTGGCATTACTGTACTGAACGTGTCTGGAAATTAGATCTAGTAAATAAAAGTTACATCCTAAAGCACCAACTTTTTGTTATCCTGGAACATTCTTTTGTATTCATGTCATGTTTCATGTAGTTTACCTTGATTTTTATCTTGATATCAGATTCACGGTTTGCCTGACGAGCTTCAGCAGATTTTTTTTCCAGATCAGTGTGTGTTAGAGTGTGTGTTGTGCTGGAGGCAGGACGTTTTGGGCTGTTATCAGACTCCATGTCGTCAGCTGAAGTGCCGTTGATCGCATGGTTGACTGTATATAAGGATAGAGAGGCTCGGGAGCGCGCATGCACGTCACATCCGATGGATTTCGCTGGGAATCCGACTCGGAGACCTCACATATAAATATGAATATTGGCCTTCAGAGGTAATAGCCAAACCCGAAAGTGGATCATTGCAATGTGTCATTACAACCCCTTCAAACACAGGCAATAAAAAAGGATTCATTTTATATAAAAAAAGTTACATATAGGACCTTTAACAGAGTGAAAAAATTCTTTTATCAATAAAATTAAACGCTAATTGCACATATTTTGTCTTTCAATAATTCAAGCACGTTTCAAGAACCTTTTCCTGTTTCCAAGGGGTTTCCAGGTTTTTTTTTAACCTTGTACGAACCCTGATATGATAAACCAATCAGCACGAGCTTCTGCTTGATCATCGGTTACGCTGCAGAACACACGGGAGCGAGCTCTGACACACACATCACGCCACAAACGCTGCTGACGAGGTTCACATTGAATCCAGAGCCGAGCGTGATGACGATGATGATGAAGATGGGGTCATGACCCGAGCTCTTACCGGCAGGGCGGGCGCAGTAGGAATGCTGGGAACACAGATATCTGGCAGTGAACACAGCCTAGTGCCCTTCGCCACCTCATCCATCTGTGCATCAAACCCCGTCTGAAACAAACCGTTCAAACCAGTTTCAGAAACACTGACAGGAAAAGCTTCATCTGACACACACATGCAGATTATTATTATTATATACTGGATGAAATAATGTCAGCTGGTGTTTGAGTGAAGAAATGTCTGAAAGAAAATCATTAAACGAATGTAAATGTCCCTCCATCGACACGGTTATTATAACAATATAATAATGCAATTTAAAAGTTTTGTTGTTAATTTAAAGTGTGATATTGTAGTAAAGTAGTGACTGACAGGTTTCCTGTATATACAGCTTTAATTGAGTTTACCTGACACACACACACACACACACACACACACACACACACACACACACACAAATCACTACTGAATGTAAACTGGCAGTGGATCAGTGTGCTGTGATGAGGAACAGAAGGAAGTTCACCTGAGTCCTGTTAATTCTGTCCTCCATGTCACACACGTGTCTCTTCCAGTCATCGATGGCTGACAGCAGCGCAGCGGAGGGGACACTGCAGCACAAACCATCATCAGACACACACACACACACACACACCAGTACAGCACACTTCTGAACCTGAGTGTGAATCCTGTGCCGTACCTTAGCAACACCTCCGTCATGTGTTTGACTATCATCTGGCCTTCAGAGACGCTCATCCTCAACCGCCGCAGTGCGTGTTCCTGACGGCTCTGCAGAACACACAGCTGAACACACACACACACACACACACATCAGCGTCACTGCAGCGTCAGGCGATGAAACACACCAGCTGATGCTGAAATCTCACCTGCGCCGCCATGGATCTCCTCTGCGCTTTCACACACGCGTCTCTGAACTTCTTGATCTCCTCCTCTAGGCTCATCCGCTCGGCCGCACACTGGTTACTGCAGGACAGGCGTTACACAGGACAGGCGTTACACACAGGACAGGTGTTACGTTACACACAGGACAAGCGTTACACACAGGACAGGCGTTACGTTTCACAGGACAAGCGTTACACACTGGACAGGCGTTACGTTTCACTGGACAGGCGTTACACACTGGACAGGCGTTACACACTGGACAGGCGTTACGTTACGCAGGACAGGCGTTACACAGGACAGGCGTTACACACAGGACAGGCGTTACACAGGACAGGCGTTACACAGGACAGGCGTTACACACTGGACAGGCGTTACGTTACGCAGGACAGGCGTTACACAGGACAGGCGTTACACAGGACAGGCGTTACACAGGACAGGCGTTACACACAGGACAGGCGTTACACAGGACAGGCGTTACACACAGGACAGGCGTTACACAGGACAGGCGTTACACAGGACAAGCGTTACACACAGGACAGGCGTTACGTTTCACTGGACAGGCGTTACACACTGGACAGGCGTTACGTTACGCAGGACAGGCGTTACACAGGACAGGCGTTACACACAGGACAGGCGTTACGTTTCACAGGACAGGCGTTACGTTTCACAGGACAGGCGTTACACACTGGACAGGCGTTACGTTACGCAGGACAGGCGTTACACAGGACAGGCGTTACGTTTCACAGGACAAGCGTTACACACTGGACAGGCGTTACGTTTCACAGGACAGGCGTTACACACTGGACAGGCGTTACGTTACGCAGGACAGGCGTTACACAGGACAGGCGTTACACACAGGACAGGCGTTACGTTTCACAGGACAGGCGTTACACACTGGACAGGCGTTACGTTACGCAGGACAGGCGTTACACAGGACAGGCGTTACACACAGGACAGGCGTTACGTTTCACAGGACAGGCGTTACACACTGGACAGGCGTTACGTTTCACAGGACAGGCGTTACACACTGGACAGGCGTTACGTTACGCAGGACAGGCGTTACACAGGACAGGCGTTACACACAGGACAGGCGTTACACAGGACAGGCGTTACACAGGACAGGCGTTACACACAGGACAGGCGTTACGTTTCACAGGACAGGCGTTACACACAGGACAGGTGTTACGTTACACAGGACAAGCGTTACACACTGGACAGGCGTTACGTTTCACAGGACAGGCGTTACACACTGGACAGGCGTTACGTTACGCAGGACAGGCGTTACACAGGACAGGCGTTACACACAGGACAGGCGTTACGTTACGCAGGACAGGCGTTACACAGGACAGGCGTTACACACAGAATACAAAGTGAATGCGAAGCATTAAGGCCAGTGCATTACCTCCCTTCTGAAACTACTTGATAAAAGTAAACCAATAGATCACTAGTGTCAGGGTTAGGGTTACTAAAGCTAAAGTAATGTCCATGTTTCCTCCAGGGCGACTTGATGCAGAAAGAGAAACAGTAATGCACTGGCTTTACAGGACCCGCGTTACTGCACTAGACGTTACACACAGGACACGCGTTGTCTAAATGTTGTATATTTTCACACTCACTTGATGTCAAGGAATTGCTCCAGTTTAGTCTGATACTCTTTATTCTTGGCACTGATGTCTCTGGAGTAACTAGAGAGAAAAAAGGGCAGTTATTCAGCAGTAAACCAGTGGCTGAGTGTGTGTGTGTGTAAGAGTGTGTAAGTATATATGTGTCAGTGAGTGACCAAGTATGTACAGGTACAGTGTTGGTGTGAATCCTGTGTCAGGGTGTCTGACCTTTCATGTAAATCTGTCAGATCTTTGATCTCCATCTTCAGGTTCTTCAGAGTCTCCTGGTTCTCCTTCTTCTCCTGCTGGTCTTTCCTGACCTCCTCCTCTAGTTTCTGCTGGAACATGGCGAGCTCTGCGCTGGCGATCTGAACACAAGCGTACGTCTGAGCTGCAGAACCACAGAAGCGCTTCAGAAGACTCTGACGGACGTTTCTCTACCTGCTTGCTCTGTGTGATTCTCTGGGTCTCCTCCTGAAGCGCTGCTAACTCCTCAGCCCTCTTCTGCTGGACGGCAGCGTGATCGTCCTTCATCTGCTGGAGCTTCTTCAACAGCTGCTGCTTCTGTTTCTCTTTCTGCATCAAGTCGCCCTGGAGGAAACATGGACATTACTTTAGATTTAGTAACCCTAACCCTAGTGATCTATTGGTTTACTTTTATCAAGTAGTTTCAGAAGGGAGGTAATGCACTGGCCTTAATGCTTCACATTCACTTTGTATTCTCAGTCCTGCAATCATGCGACAACCTTAATATGACAGAATGCTGAAGTACAAGTGGCACTTAATATTCAGTAATATTATCGATTTGACTATCAGTTGAGAACAAACCTTGGTACTGAACTGAGCTCAGGTCTCATATTTAATGACGTTTACATGGTTGATTCTGTTATTTTGCTGTTATCACTGTGAAGCTGCTTTGAAACAGTCTGTCCTGTATAAAGTGCTGTAGAAATAAGAATGACTTGACTATCATTCACAATCCTTAGGGGTGCTCCGATCGGGATTTTTGGGGCCGATCACCGATCCCCGATTACCAGAAGCTGTATCATCCGATAACGATCACAGGGTCTAGTTGAAGACTTCTATTTATCATGTAGCATTACTTATCAAACTATATTTAACAACAATGTACATTAAGTATTACATTTAAGAGAAGACAGTGTATCATGAATTGACACCTGTGTATTTATTTGCAAGCAACATGTCCAGCATATTATCTTAGCAGCTTGTGCTTGGCTTATGGGAGCAGCTTAGGACTTGACATACAACTTTCCTGTAGAATATAAAATTAAATAAATAAAAGACAGAACATCTGAGTCTTTAAATTTAGCTTTAGACTAAGACTAAAAACAGCAACAAAAAGGCTATAGCCAAAATAATGTTTTGAGTCAGACAGCCATCAGTTTTGGACCAGTAAAGTGCACAGCAACAAAAAATACAAATAACTAAACTTCCATACAGACTATCTATAAATTAGCTTTTTTTCTGAGATGCTTTGTCAGATTTTGAGGGTATTTAGAGAGGAAGAGAGAGGTAGATAAAGAGAGAGAGGGGGAATAGAGATTATTAGACTAATTTCTCTCAATTTCTCAATCTATATATATATATATTAGGGGTGGAACGGTACACAGAAGTCACGGTTCGGTTCATACATTACGGTTTGGTACGATTTCGGTACAATGGAGGGAAAAGCAAAACAAAAATACAGAAGGCATTGTATTTATTAAACAATTTTTATTAAAAAAGGCACACAACCAGCTTATTTGTAGTGCACTGACAATAGTTTTATATAATTACTTTATTAATTAAATGAATAAAAAGACAAAAAAAAACTTGAGATATGTTTGATAATTGTACCTGAATTAATTAAAGGAATATGACGCATGTCCAAAAGATGGGACCCACGGACTGTTTTGAAACGGAGTTGGATAAATATGTTTTGCTTTTAAAACACTGTGTGTGTGTGTGTGTGTGTTTTTGGTTGGGTGACAGTTGTAGGCTACAGTTTGTCAAGAGTTTACAGTGTGACAAAAGCACAATGTTGTGTTTTATTGCGAGTGTACACAAATATAAGAACAGTTGTTATGTACACACACACACACACACACACACTCCAGCATTGCAATCTTGACACCGCAGCCTGTTCATTTGTTCATTATGCGGTCACACCAAACGCAAATAGAGCACTAAATTCGCCACCAAACACCAAAGTTTGAAGTGAACGCGCGTTCAGATTCAGCGCCAAATTCGAGTCTAGTTCGACGCTAGTCCAAAGCGAGGATGCGCATATAAAGCCAAGTTAATCGCCTGCGTATCTAACAGTAGTTCCGCATTACATTAATTAATATGCACGCGAGATTTATTTATTTTTACACCATGTATTCTCCGTGTAAATTCGTGACGCCCGTACCGTTTCAGTTCAATACGAATACATGCACCGTTCCACCACTACTATATTTTGAAAGAACCCTTGCAAAATTATTTGAAACAGATTAAGAAAGCCACCTCTACTGGTCACATGGTTAGATTGATTTGTTTCAATCCAGTGAAGTCTGTCCCACCATGTACCTAATATGTAAGCAATAAGGTACTCGAGGCTGTGCTGTATGGTGAATGAGTAACGGCTGAAGGGCGTCGTTAGGCTCGACGCGAAGCGGAGTAACCCCTTCAGCCGTCACTGATCCACCATACAGCACTTGCCTCGAGTACCTTAATGCTTTTATAAAACGGTTGCCACACAATATTAAAGTAAAAAACAATGTATTAGTGCAACTTTCTTGAAGAAGAATCACTAAAAGCCTTCCTTCCGCTAGAAAAAAAAGTCCCTGAGCGTGAACAGCAACGGCGCTCCAGTGTGTAAAACGCATGAAAGCTCAAATAAAAACAACACAGAACCGCAGTGCTGCACAGCGATCAATAGAGCCGTTGGGTGAAGCGGTCATAGCCGTGTTTTATCCTGAATAAAGCACAGCTCTTGACCAATCAGAATCAAGGATTCGAACTAACTGTTTCATAAAAATAAATAAAACATCTCAGTTAACTAGCAGAGCGTTCATTTAATTCGCTATTAAATAAGAAATCTAGCGCTAAAATGTGTTTTTGAACTTAAGCTGTGCGCTCGTTGCCGCGACTGTTATAAATGTAACAATCATGTCGCCACTTAGTGACGAAACAATGTACTTGATAAATGCGTTATTTTAAAGGGATCTATGCAGGTTTTTTAGCTGAACTGAAGCAGAACCTCTGACACGCTTGGGATAAGTTCTGCCGCTGGACTATTAAAGCTCAAGGGGATAATTGTCGGATATATGCATTTAATCACGTGTAAATTCTCACCACTAACAGCATATTTTAGATCTCATTAAACACAATGTACTATTGTATGCCATGTCACTCTGTGTGAGTGGTACGACAGTGACGTTAAACTCAAGCACTCCACAGCGACTCTAGGGGTCGCTGTTTGACAAAAACGGGATTCCTGCATAGCTGATCTACTGCTCAGAGCGGATCAAAGAAATCAACTCACGTTATTCCTCTCGAAGGACACGCACGGCTCTGTGTTGATGGAAACATCTGTATAGTCTGCAAAATCCTGTAAGGGGCAAAGGTCAGAGGTCAGAGTTGAACGAACATGAACGTGACGACATTCCCCTCACGTGGCACAGCTTACCCGCACACACACGCCTGTTTGTTTGTCTTCTCGTGTGGCTACAGCATCACACGCGAGCTCCTCAGCGTCCAACACGTCTGCGGCCAAATACTCGAAATCTGTGATGGGAAACTCGGAATCATACGGATCGGGGAAAATCGGGAACGGATCCGAGGACGCAGGCTCATCTTTGCTATCGTAAGAACCCAAGCTGATCTGTGCGAAGTCGTCACTCAGCGCGTCGGCGTGCGGCCAGAACTCGCGGGCGGACGGGTTCAGGTGCGACGAGCCGTTTTCGGTCAGGGACACGGCGTGCTTCATCAGCCCGATCAGCTCCTCCGTCATGGTGAAGCGCAGCGACTCCAGCAGGAAGGGTTTGAGTCCGCCGGCGTCCGAGATCTTTTGCTGCGCCTCCGGAGGGAAGTTCTCCAGCTCGCCCACCATCAGCGGGTCCGTGGCGCACAGCGGTCCGTGCTCCTGCAGGATCTGGGCGAAATAACTAGACAACAGCAGAGAGAGAGAGAGACAAGTCATCGTCCGCTGGTGTGGATGCTAATATAGCTATCGTTATAGCGTTCGTTACCGTCCGCTGATGTGGACGCTAATAATCTGTAGAAATGCGCTACAGAAACAAGTCAAACCCATCAGCCACATCTACAATCCGCCGCAGTGACGGTGTGGTTATAAAACAAGCACTCCTGAGCGCAAGCACAGACGACACGTACTCGTATAAGCTCTCTTTAGTGGGGTCGGGGTGATTGTCCAGGATCCGCTCGTAATGGCTGCGGTGCGCTGATCCGGCGTACTGCTCCTCAAACTCCGCCAGCTGACCTCGCAAGTGTTCGGGAACGCTGAACGGGTCCAAGCCATTCAGGAACAGCCTGGAACAGGCCAATCACAGTCAACTCACAGAGAACCTTCATCTCACAGCCGTGGTGTGCAATGACTGAACTCACAACGAGTCTTCCTCAGAGAACAGCTCATCCTCCTCATCTTCCTCTCTCGAATGCCCTCTCATTCCAGACAGCACAATAACAGACTGAAACACACACACACACACAGAGAGATGAGCATGAAGCACTCTAGCCCACCGGCGCACTGGCGTCACTCACAACACTCACCTTTAACTCCTTCTGCTTCTTCTTGCGATGTCTGTTTTTACTCTTAAATATTGAACTCTGAAACAAACACACATGAAGCATCACTGAAACACTGCCCAAGCTCGGCCACAGACGAACCGCTAGCGAGAACGCGCGTCTCTTACCATGTGCTCCTCATCATCCGTCTTTTTAATGACTAAACAAACAGCATCTAAAGATAAAGAAAAGGTCATTTGCACAAAACTCCCTTCATACATGCACACATCACCCGTTTCAGCTTACGTACCATCTTCAAAATATTGATCGAGAATGGAGTGACAGGTGCAATAGCGCTCTCGATTCGATTCTAGAGTCCAAATAAGCAGACGCATTTCTTTAGCGGGAGCCTGCCTTAAATACTCCATTACTGTAAAACCGTCACGGTCCAATAACTCGGAAACGGTGGCGTATTTCTGGAGCGTGTCGTGCAGGGGTGTGAAGGTCAGCAGAGGCTTGAGGTCCAGCTCCTCCAGATGAGCACTGTAGCGGCTGATGAACGCCTGCGCCGCTCGCAGACCTGAGGACGGGAAACACACATTTCAACCAATGAACGTCACACTGAAACGTCAAAACACCCAACAGACTCTCTAATAATGGATCACAAAACTCACGGTTCGGATCATTTATTGATTTTAAGAAGCAGATCAGCAAAAAAAAATAAAAAATTATATATATATACTGTATATATGGAGGAGATTGAAAAAACTTTCCTTTTTTTTTTTAAAAGCCTAGACCTGAAACATTTTCCAACTTAAACTGTGGTAATCTCGAACGCTTTAGAGCGACAGATTTAGAGCACTCTTTTTTTAAAGACGAGACAACACTTGGCAGATTATTGCTGAAGTGAAAAAAGTTTTAAAGTGAACTTTAAAAAAGTTGTTTATCGTTATGAAAAATGTGCAAAAATATTTTTTTCAATTTTTACATCAAATATATTTTCAAAAACATGTTTTATTCTTAAACTGAAGCCATAAATCAAAAAAAGTTGTGCTCCAAATGTGAGGCTGGTATCTGAAAAAAATGTGAGCGTGTGTTCGGCTGCAGTTCCAAACGCTTCCACTAGAGGAAACACTGCGCTCGTTCCCGACCGCACAAGAGAGACTGCTGCTTTCAGGACCATTAAAGGGTGATTCCCCCGGTGGACACATGAATGTGTGTTGAAAGTGGGTCATATATGCAGAATAGTATCATCAATTTCTAATTTGTGTTCTTCTTGGCCGATTAAAGGCAGAAAATGACTTTTTAGTGCTTGTGGATTGTAGACAACAATCCCCATAGTGCATTGCAACGCTCAGCTCGGCAGGCCACTCCCACTACTCCGCCCATCACTGTAGACTAGAGTTGAGCTCCACTCTACGCTACCGCCTGGAAATCATTTCGCACAATGAAATCAGATAATGCGCTCTAATATAATATGACGACGTAAGAGCATCAAGGCGTTCATCAGCCAATGGACAGGCGTGACTCTATATGGGCTTCAGCCAATCGCCACACGCATTGGGCCCAACCCCCTATGGGCGGGTTAGAACGGGTGGGGACTAGAGCTTGTAGTCTTTACAGAAATCCCCCCTCTTACACTTTCTCCTATAATGACGTAAAAGGACGATTAGCCTTCATCATTGTAGGAGGAAGTGAAGAAGGTAAAGAGCGGATTTCTCTCGTCTAAGGGGAAAATGAGAGAGTGTTGCACGACCATTCAATAGTATGACTGGATTTCTAACAATGGAAATCTTAATGCAAATGGGGGTGGAGCGTCCCTTTAAACCTGTTCAGATCATGGCCATGATTTATGCGTGTTCACATACTAAGAGCGAAACCTTTACCAAGATTCGTACCATTCCGACGAGGAGAGAAGTTTTTCCGGTAGTTTTTTTTTTTTTTTTATGAAACTTTCCCACATTGATGAACAGAAAGCATGAAGCTGGAGGCTTTTCTTGTAATGATGCATAATTTACTGTTATTACTATATTAAGTACATGTAGTAATGTGTAACTACGAAACCCTCAAGTAAATGGTTACCAGCATCTTAAAAGAGAGAGAGAGAGGAAGAAATGCTGGTGGGGAAAGAGTTATTATTCAGTGATATATGATCTGAATGACTAATACACTGAATAATAAACCTAAAACTGAGAAAAACAAATCCCTCAATCTAAACAAGTTGTGCAGCAAGTGCCAAAACCTTCACCACATGTTTGCAGGGTTTACACTACAGCTCACAGCAGAGGAAGGAGAGCGCTTACCGGCGTTATCCAGACGCTGAGCCCACTGCTGCAGTCTGGGTGTGATATGAAGGCCGGACGCCAGCGTGTGTATGAAGACTCGAGCCCAGACCCGGTTCCTGGACTCCAGCAGAAGCTCGACCAGCTCGACCAGCGGCCCGGTGTCCCTGCGGCCGCTCCACACACGCCTCGACTGCTCGCTCTCACACAGATCCAGCCACGGCCGCAGGCACTCCCAAAACACACTAATATTCACTGGCTCTTCTTTAAAAAGTCCTTTGTTATCATGAATTTGATGTAAAACACGGTCCACATAAATAGAGTCTTTAGGTGGCGCTGCAGGATAAGAACAGAGACGCAGCGTTACAGAGGTCGCAGGTCACACTCGGATTGCCTCAGAGTCGGATTATAAACACACAGTGGACTCAGAAAACACTTCAAACAGCAAAACAAGCTAAAACAACCACACTGGGGGTCAAAGGTTGGGAGTGATTAAGATTTTGTAGCGTTTTTTTTTTAAGCAGTCGCTTCTGCTCATCAAGGCGGAATTTATTTGATTTATAATGTTGATAATAATCATTCATGATTTCTGAAGGGTCATGTGACAGTGAAGACTGGAGTAATGATGCTGAACATTCTGGAATAAATCACACTGAGAACAGATGATTTACACTGGAGTAATATTACAATGTTTTTACAGCATTTTTGATCAAATAAATGCAGAACTGTAGTTTTTCTAAACCTTTGACCGCCAGTGTAAATCACTGAATTGGCTCTGAACATCAGTTTACGGTCTCTAGTGTTTCTAGACCTTTTAAAGCTCCTGTAAAGGAATAAAATCCCCTAACTTCATGTGGAGATATATATATATATAGTGAGGTGAGAATGAGTGTGGTGTGCTCACGTGATCCTCTCTGCACCGCTAGCTTGTTCGCCGCGTCCTCAGCCGTTACTTCATCTCTCTCTCGACACGCAGAACGTCTCGCCAACTTCTGCTGATTCCGACGAAGCTTTCGATCATTTTTAGACTTCAACTTCTTAATACTGTTGAGGCACAACGAGAGAAATCACGGTAAACGAGCGAAGCTTAGTGTTAAAGCACTGGATCAGCAGGTTCAAAGGTCACCTTGAACACTGTTGCCGGACCCTCGCTCGACCAGCAGGGCTGGGTTTAGGAATACACGTTTTAAACTGAGAGACGAAAAGAGTGTTAGCAAGCAAACGAAGCCATGAAACATCACTGTGAGTGAGTGAGTGTGTGTGTTGGTGAGTGAGAGTGTGAGAGTGTGTGAGTGTGTGTGTCTGTACACCTCACCTCACACTTTATCAGCCCCGTCGAGCCAAATATTACAACGTGACAGATCCGCCCTCCACAGTCCGGCGTAAAACACGAATCTTTTAGAAAATCCTGCAGTGAAAGGAGAGAGAGCTCGTGAGTGTCGGTCCTCTTCAGATCTCAATCACTGAGTCGCGCTGAGTCTGACCTTGTCATTCTTATCAGAAAATGAAAGTGTTTTGAGCTTCTTCCAGCAGCTCATATGAAACTCGACTCTGCAGCTCTGACAGCAGATCAGCTGGATGAAGCCCTGAGAACACACACATCAACACACTGCAGATTCAGCTCAATACTCTCACACACTCTCTCACTCCAACACACACTCTCTCACTCCAACACTCACTCTCTCACTCCAACACTCTTATACTCTTAACTATTATGACTCACTTTAAAGTCGGGGTCGCTGAAGTAGATGTGGATGGTGTGAGCGAGGCAGTGCTGATGTCGACACACTGCGTCTGCTTTAGGAGGAAACTTACACAACTCCACAAACCTCTGCAGGTGTTCCTTAGAGACAGAGATCATCATGGTCATCATCATCATCAAATCGATTTTAACAGATTCTCATTTAGATGAACCGATATTGATATTCTGTTTTCAGCGGATGCTGTTAAACCTCCACTAAACACTCTCTGCAGTTCCTGCCATCCAATAATCTCTGATAGTTCTGATATGAAACAGTCTCGGCTTTCAAATCCTGTCCATTTCATCAGTAGATTCAGTCCATAAATGTGTGTGTGTGTGTGTGTGTGTGCGTGTGTGTGTGTGTGTGTGACAGAAGAACCGATCATGTCCTCCTCTTTACTACTAGTTACAGCAGCAAATAAACATCAGTGAACATCCGAAGGAATGATGAGCAATACAGAACAACTTCCTGAAATCAATCATGTCCCATAATCCATCACTCAGAGTTTCGTCAATCAGTCAATAGGAGCTGGAGAACCATAATGTCACGCAACGCCACATTTACCTCAGCAAAGCCATTCAGTGAACACAAACTCTAGTCATTGAGAAAAATAACTCTAGAGAGAGCATGCTGATTGACACATGCACTATGATGTATTCATTATATTTTTACTCTAATATATTCAAAATCAATATTGAAGAACAGGTTGTCATAAAAACAAGTTATGACAGCTGAAATATAATTACAGTCGAAATATAATTATGTCATTAACCAGTCACTTTCACAAAAACAGGCTTGGGTACTTTAAAGTACCAGTAAACTGTAACCTGTAATATTACAGTAATGTCCGACTGACGGGTTCCTGTGGTTTACAGCTTTAGTTCTGAGAGATTACTGGAGAAAAATACAGTACACAAACTAATGTTTTTAACTAACTAATATTGAATTGAAATTTAAATTGAATTTCTTGTGACCAAACTGAAATCAAATCGAAGTAGTAAAGAGGAAGAGATGATCGGGTCATCTGTGTGTCTCTCACACACACACATTTATGGACTGAATTTACAGATGAAACAGGATTTGAAAGATGAGACTGTTTCATTTCAGAAGTATCAAAGATTATTGTGATTATTGGACGGCAGGAGCTGTCGTGGGAATTGATACCGGTTCATCAGAGTGAGAACTGTTTAAACTCATTACGTCCAACTAAATCAGACACTGAATCCCAGAATATCCTGATGGATGGCAGTAATCTCACACACACACACACACACCTCTAAACAGGCCACCTGCGTCTCCTCAACGATAGCTTTAGTAGTGGGCCAGGTGAGTTTCCCAGGCGTGACGCGTCTCTGAATCATGAGCTGCGCGTTAGAGAAGCGCTCCAGGGCTTTAGCAAACCTGTAAAACACCGAACATGAGCCTGACGCGCGAGACGACCCGGCGGAGAGCGGCCATCAACACTAACCTGTTCTCCTTCAGATACACTCGCCCCATCCCATAATGCACCAGCAACTGGAACTTCCTGTCTGACGACTCTAACGTGGCGAACCTCCTCTGAGCTTCAGCCAGTTCCTTCACACACACACACACACACACACACACACACACACAGAGAAAACACATTTTACAATTACTTTATCAGGACCAACAATGACATTCATGTTTTTGCAGTTTACAGCTTATTTTAACCGCATTCGTACAGATTCTGTAAAATCTAATTCCAGGACTTCAGGACTTTTTTCCACCGTAGCGTTCTCCCACCGTAGCGTTTGGTGTTCTGTATCGTTCACCGTAGCATTCTCCCACCGTAGCGTTCTGTATCGTTCTCGCATTGCAGTGTACTCGAATCGTAATGTTCGCGCACTGTAGCGTTCTCGCACCGTTAACTGAAGTCAGGTGTGTAGGGGAAGGCAAGTCACATGACTTCATCAGCGTCTCCTACACGTGTGTGTGCGCTAGCTAAAGCCTGTCGGCTGGTCAGTGTGAGCGTTTGGTTCGGGAAGCGAGCCGAAGCGTGTTGCATTACCTCTGGCTGTCCGATCTCCAGCAGGGCGGTGGCGTACCCATAAACCAGCACAGCTTTATCCAGCTCCGTCAGACCCAGCGCCTGTCAGAAGCAGAAGCACCAGTGGACACTCGTGAACCAGTGCAACCATTCAGTGTGTCAGAGCACAACATTCACACACAACCAGAGTCAAACGCACGCTGATTCTCCAGCTGTGTTTCATACACCTATTAATCTGAATTATGGGATATTGCATAAAAGCATTGGATGTAAGCAGCAAGATTGGGTGTAATTCCCTCCAGAAGCGTCTCACACACACACACACGAGTGTGTTCCCGAACACCAGCGTCCGCACGCCAGAGAACACGACAGCGTTTACTGATGCGCGACACACACTTGTTTATGATGGAGGGAAACAGGCAGATTGCAAAAACTGATACTTTGCTCCAAATTCAAAGGAAGTGCTGATTTTGTTCTTGAACACATGGATGGAAACACTGCTTTACTGCTGCTGACACACACCTTTAATGCTTTAATGCTTTATGTAAATGTTTTGTGCAATATTCCAACTAAATCCTCAACTTTAGATGGAAACACAGATACATCTTGTGACATAAACACACACATCAACCCGATCACATGTTTAGCGTTCATGTAAACACTACATTCAGATGTGTGTGTGTGTGTGTGTGTGAAGGGCTATGTTACCGTGGTGCCGCAGGACTCCAGGATCCGCAGGGCCACAGTGAAGGACTGATGAGCGTTCCTGCAGCGCTGGTCACTCAGAGCCGTGTGACCCTCCTGAACCGCAGCACAGAAGAGCTCTCTCGAACATGCCTCGCTGACGGCCTCCTACACACACACAGCAGCGTTACACACACACCGGCGTTACACACATCAGTGTTACACAGACACAGAAGCCTCAAACACACACACCAGCATTACACACAAACACGCACACACGCGGGCACTAGTGTCACACACACAAAAGCATGATTTTAATATATTGTGTAGCAAAATGTTCACACACACACACACACACACACACACACACCTCAGCAGTTTGTGTCACCATGGGGACAGGAGAGCTGTCAGTCCATAAATGGGAAACTAACTAGTGTTACTTATTTGAAAAAGTAATCAGATTACATGACTCAAGTTACTCGTGATGAGTTTCCCCAACACTGCTCAGGAGTTTGCTCTGGATGACACTAACCGCTGGACTGTCGGCTCGCTCCGGCACAGGTGTGTGTTTGCTGCGCGGCTCCGGCTTCTCCGGCACAGGTGTGTGTTTGCTGCGCGGCTCCGGCTTCTCCGGCACAGGTGTGTGTTTGCTGCGCTGCTCCGGCACAGGTGTGTGTTTGCTGCGCGGCTCCGGCTTCTCAACACCCGAAGATTTCTTACTCTTCCGTGGACTCATTTCACTAGGACACGATTCAGCAGAAATAAACATCATTATCCAAGAGCTCAAGGTCACATCCCTCAGGGGTCAAACAGCTGACATGATAATACTCTCATCAGATTTTAGTTTAGTTTAGTTCCTTTATTGTTCCTCTTTGGCTTCACTATACATCACACACAAGGACACCAACACAAAAACATAAGAAAGAATACATAAATTAAAAACAGTACCATTACCATGCAGCTAAACTTAGCTTTCATATATCCACCCCTACTCGTATTTATGTCTTCTCAGCATTTAAAAATCAAATGACATCTGGTACACATTTTTACTTGCCCTAGGTTGTCTAAACCTTCTCCTTGATGGAAGCAACTGAAAACTAGTGTGTAAGGGGTGAGATAAATCCTCTACAATGACCCTTGCCTTCTCTTTAACTTTCAATAAATATATCTCATTCAATTGTCTTTGTGTTTTACCTACGATTGCGCTAGCTATGTTACCCACCCCAGACAATTTCTGCTTGGATTTAACAGGTGAGATTTTAGATTTTGGTTTAGGGTTAGATTTTGGGTAACACTTAACAATAAGGATCAGTAGTTAACAATCTTAGTTAAAATGAACTGAGAGTGAACAATAATTCTTCAGCATTTATTAATGCATTATTAAAATGATTAATAACAGTATTAAAATCAAAGGTTGTATTTGTTAAGATTAGCTACTGCACTGTGAACTAACATGAACAAACAATAAACAGCTGAATGATTATTAACTCACATTAACAAAGATACGTTACTGTAACAAGTATTTTGTTAATTTGTTGGTTCCTGTTAGTGAATTAACGACTCGATTACTAACGTAACCTCGGTTCCCTCAGACTGCGTAGCTATACGCTTTGGGGAACCAATCCAATCACAGCGTGCTACGTTAATCGGAACGGCATGTTCTATGACCCGAGTTGGGACGCCCCGCAGTCGAGAAGCGCAGTGGCTCGTCTCAAAACTTAAAACTGTACACACACCGGCGGGGCCAGCTACGGCTCAGGACTGTTCAAATCCTGACGCGCCACAGAGCGCTGTTTACAGTTCTATATTACATTTACATTATATTTGTCTCACATCGTCGTTAATGCATAGGGAAGGGGGTCGCGCACCGGACAACACAAAGTATCGCACAGCGGACGAGAAGCATAGCGCCACGCCGGACAGGACAACTCGCGGCTGCGCTTCTCGTCCGGTGTGCGCCCCCCTCAAGTCTGACGTGCCGTCTCGATAGGGCGGAGACCCTGATGAAGGCTAAATCATATGAAAAGGACGTCTGGGACTCCCAAGTTATAAAATCTGGCGAAGGACCGCTGGCCGCTACGTACGGACGCCTTGCACCGGCGGTTTATGACAGTTAATTAACAATGAACAGCAGTATTTCTATTAGCTAACATTAACAAAGATGGATAAATACTGTAACAAATGTTTTGTTTGTTAGATCATGTTAACTAATGAACCTTTTTGTAAAAGCGTACGGTTTGACACGTTCAGCAAACAGAAGGAAACATCCTGACACTGAGCGCCTGAGAAATGAAAGTAAACCTAGCTTATTGTACCTGCCATTAGAAGCTCAAGTTTCACTTTAAAGATAAAAGAACTCTTCACAAACATCCTTTACAACTAATCTCAGATTTCTATCAACACACTGAATGATTAAAACATGTTTGACCGAACGAAAGAATTCGCTTGTTTTCTGGTCACTCCATGACAATAACCGGGTTATTACCTCTTCATGTCTCCGAGTCTGTCGGCTCGCTCCTCGGGAAGGGCTCGAGCTCCAGAGTTTCCTGAAAACAAGGGAATTTAAGATTAGAGTTCAAATGAAGAAACTTCCCTGAGGAAATAAATAAGTCTTGCTTTCAGAAACAACTGGCAGAACCAGAAGAACCGCTAGTGCTAAACACCTGTGCGCGCCTAGAAACAAACGCATCAGATGAAGGAGGGAGCCAGCGCGACACGAGACTCGCCGGAAACAGCGCGACACACACTTCCTCATGACAACATGAAGGAAAACACATTCTTTCAATTACACAAGATATCTGAGCTTCATCGTGTGTGCCAGCACACACCAGCCATCAGTGAGCTTGGAGAGGGATGAGCACTGGGAACAGACGCGAGACACAGCCTTCCAGATAACACACGGACTGATAGAAAGAGCAGTGTGTGTGTGTGTGTGTGTGTGTTCAGACGGGAGAGAGAAGCCTACTGCCATTACAGTATAAATTACAGGTTTTAAATGGGTAATCTGCGGGGACATTTTAGTCAAATTTAAAGGAGTAGTTCACTTTCGGCTTCAGACCTGCACAAATAAACTGAATATGACAATCTCTATAGAAACATTAAAGGGATACTCCACTTTTTTGGGAAATAGGCTCATTTTACAACTCCCTCAGGGTTAAACGTTTAAGTTTTACCGTTTTCTAATCCATTCAGCCGATTTTATGATGTTTAGAAGAATGTCAGTAACCAGTTTCTGGTCTCATTGACTACCATAGTAGGAAAAAATATATATAGTATATACTGTGGAAATCAATGAGACCAGAAACTGTCTGGTAACTGACATTCTTCTAAATATCAGATAAATCGGCTGGATGGATTAGAAAACGGTAAAACTTAAACGTTTAACCCTGAGGGAGTTGTAAAATGAGCCTATTTCCAAAAAATAGGCTCATTTTACAACTCCCTCAGGGTTAAACGTTTAAGTCCCTTTAAAATCCCTTTAAACTGTAAAGTTCTTTAAATCGTGGTTTTTGGTCTAATACAGGATCAACAACAACAACAAAAAATGTATAAAATAAAATCCTCACATTTCAGCTATTTTATAAAAGAAGTTACATCTGTAAACACTCGGGTTGGGACATCTGGAATCCAATACTTGTAATATAATTAATTTAAATTCCTTTCAATATGACTTTAAAGGTGCCTTCGAATTAGAATTAATCTTGGCGTAGTTAAATTCAGTTCAGTAGTTCAGTGCATAGACATGACATACAGTGAGTCTCAAACACCGTTGGTTTCTCCTCAGTTAAATCTCGTTTCTGAAAAACAGGCGAATCTCCACACAACACCGACTGCGACGCAACACTCGGGGTCATTAGTTCAAATTAAAATATTACTTCAACACATTCTAGAGCACCTTTAAACCACTGATTAACATTAGCTCGGCTAGTCGTTCTTCTGAAATAAGGATCTCAGGCGTTCAGGAGAGCAGTGCACATGTGAACTCAATCTTTCCTGAAACATGTGGAGAATGCGGCCCTCGCTCACCTGCAGCGTTCCCGTGGGGTCTCCCGTTCTCAGAGCTCTGCTGCGAAAGAAGAACACACTCATTACACACACACACACACACACTCAGAGAAACCAACAGTGATGGCCAATGCTAGAGAGCAGGCGGCCCATATGAAGCCATCACACATTTCATCTAAAGTTCATAAAACACAACACAGGCAAAACACTTTTTGGGGGTAAATCTCGGTGCCTCGGTAAATCTCATTTCCAGTAATGAGAGTACAGGGCTGAAGTCACACACACAGAAACTAATAACTCTGTTTTACTCAAAAAAAGACCTTCGCCTGAAGTACATCAGCGCCTTTATTACTTAATCAAAGACTTATTAAACAATTATATAAATGCGCTAGGGTAATAATAATTCTGAATAATTAAATGAATAATTATTCTGTATATATAAACACACACAAGCCCCTTTTCCACCAAAGCATTTTGAGAGCCGGTGCCTGCGTGCGAACCAGTTCTTTGTGTTTGACAGTATAGAACTGGTTCGCGGCCGGGAAAACTGGTTCCACAGCGGCACCAACTCTTTGCTGGACTAGAACCGTTCTTTTACCACGTCATGTTTACGTCGGGGTCTGGGGCGGGTTTAGATGTGCTCTAAACATCTTTTCTGACCATCGCAAAGCCAGGAGAAACTGCAGAAACACGCAAGCGTTTTTTTTTATTTTTTTTATTTGAAACATTAGCAAAGAAGAAAACAGTCACGATATAGAACAAATAAATGGAAAGAAAAAAGACAAGACAGGGGTACATAACTTATAAGAAAAGATTACATATCAAACGAAAAGATTAAAAGACTTACATATTTCAATTGTTTTTAAAGTTATCTTGGTACCCGTTAGAGATAATCCCAAAGTAATGTACTTGCAAGCGTTTCTAGCGACGTAACGACGTCGTTCCCTGGGCGCTCTAGTCAGTGGAAAAACAAACCGGTTCTGAACGGGTTCGCAAGCTGAACCAACTTTGAACCAGCACCAGTTCCCAACCAGTTCTTTTTGGGTGGAAAAGGGGTAACACACACACACACACACGCATGTATATTTAGGAAAAATGGCTTATTGATTTATTAAAAAAAATGCATTTATATTTAATATAATAAATTATATATAAATATATATACAGTAAACACAATTATTTCTTAAATGCATGCATTAGTTGATATACAGAATAATTATTCACATTACACACACTCATATATTACATAAGCACGCTGGTTTCCATAGCCTAACCCTAACGCTGCAGTGCACTCACCGCACTCTCCAGGCTGGAGGACCGAGGCGCCGCTTCAGGCTCACGAGTCGATCTCTGATGCTGAGATGAGGAATCGCCCGCGTGCGATCTGCGTCACAAACACAAGCTCAACCTGAGCACCAATACACACTTAACCCTCACCCTTTTTACCTTTAAATTACTCGTTTTAATCAATAAATAATACATAGTAATTAAATTCCTCACATTCTTTCAACTCACAATGTCATGCATGACCCTTTTAATTCAGCTCTACATATCTTACACCGGGAGTGGAAATAATAACAACACATGATGATATTTCATGCCTCTAGATGGGCTTATATGTCTATATATGCAGATGAGCTGTTCCCTTCAGACACGCATGCAGACATTATACAATATTTCTTTGGTAAAGTTTTAGTTTTTGTGTGAACCGAAGCATTTCTCGCATTACATTCATTCCTGACGGGCCAAACTGAAGGAGAACAGGATGAAAAGGAAGGATTTGTTACTTTTTTAAACTTCACAAAACTCTTCGAATCCATTCATTTTTATTTTTGTGTGTATTGATGGTTCAAGAGTGACAAAAGTCCTGGAGTCCTGGACCCGTCTGGAGAACACCCTACAAACCTGGTTTTAGAAGAAATCCTTTTAGTTTCAGTCTTGCTGGTCTTCATGCCTGCGGAAACACAACAGTAATTAAGCGGTGAGGTGTGAGAGGAGCACACACACACACACACACACACACACACACACACACACACAATAATCATCATCATCTCTGTAAATGTCCCAGTGTTAGCCAGCTGAATATACTATAAAAGCACATCACGAGGACTTCATAATCCATAAAGCAAGCAATAACAGAAGAAGAAGAAGAATTGACCTTTGGCTAAGCCACGCCCTAGAATGTATTTTATTTATTTATTTGATATGGACACAACAGCATTGGACGAACCAGATACCTTGTTTTCAGTGTTATAGCAAAATTGCTAATTTGCAACACTTGTCCATAAGAGACAACACGTCACCAATCACAAAAAAAAACACAGTAGTTACAAAGATTAGCAATACAAATCATCACTATACATTTTATACAGCATTAAACACGTGTGCAGCTTTGACTTGACTTTAGCCATTGTTTTAGACATCTATCAAAGCTGATCATCATGTCTGTCTGCAATGTTAAGTCAGTGGGCAGAGAGTTCCATAGCAGATTGACCATACATCAATGGAAAGCTTATTCATTCAGCTTTAGGGTTAGGGTCAATTGCACAAAAATTGCCCCATGTGACTGGTTCTGTGGTTCCCAGCACAGGACACTAGCTGTGCAAAGCCCCAGTGAGCGTGAGCGTGAGTGTGTTACCGGAGCTGTGCTGCAGCTCGCTGTGGAAGCGCTCGCACTGCTGGTGCAGGTCTCGGAGCCCGTCGGGGTCGTGCCCGCACGCCAGCTGAGCCTCGCGGTTGGCCAGCACGGCCTTCTGGTGCTCGCCCAGGTAGAACAGAGCGTCGCAGAAGCGGTAATGACCCTGGAGGAGACCAAAACACTGTATGAGAGAGAGTCCGACCCGAGACTAAGGTCGAAAATCAAATCCTTGAGGTCAGGGAATCGGACACTTGCTATAAACTTTTAATTTCGATCCTTATTGAATCCTTTGTGAGTGTTTCAGTAGGAGTTAAAGTGCGTGTGTTCTGTCCTCGTGTGTGTGTGTGTGTGTGTACTGGACCCGCAGCTCTTAAAGTGACAGTGACAGTCTCTATAATAACACTAATCACTCAACAGGAGCCGGAGAACACACACTCGCTCTTCACTGAATAACTCTGTATCTATACCTGTAATGTATATTTGATGTATAAACTGCAGTGTTATTGTACATTTGATTCCAGTTCCCGACCCTGAAAATCTTAAAACACTGTTTGTTTCACTCGTATCTTTGTTCAGTTGTGTCTATCTGTTGCGATTGCTCGAGTGTTTATAGTGTTTAATAATGCTTGAAGTGTACATTAGTTCAGCTTCTGTGGTGTTTGTAAAGCAAACGCTGCGTGTGTAAGTGTTCATCAGCGGATGATGTTCAGCTGCAGTTACACACTAAATCTGAATGATATCAAAGTTGTATTTTACCACATTGGAATTGAAATTAGGAATTGATTAGAATCAGAATCAATCGTTAATATTCAGGCGATGCCCGATCAGTACACCAGGAACACATCACTGTAGACTGTACAAATAAGCATGAATTTAACTAAATTAAATGAAACTGATGATGATGATGATGATGAATACCTTGGCCCAGTCTGGCTGCAGTATAATGGCTCTCTTTCCATCGCCGAGTGCTTTCCTGAAAACAGTTTCACAATCAGTATCTCACACACACTCCTCAGTAACGTGCACCGGAACAGTGGGAATACCACTCACAGATATTTCTCACAGCGGATGAAGCAGAGCGCTCGGTTCCCGTACAGGATGTGGTTATTAGGGCTGAAACACAGAAGAGAGATGAGGTGGACACACAGGACTGGTGTGAGGGAAGCGCTGACGACGCTCTGACACTTACTGGAATTTAATGGCTTTAGTGTAAGACTTCAGAGCCAAGTCATATTTCTTTCTCTGGAACTGCTCATTCCCTTTGTTTCTCATATCGTCGCTTTTCTGGAATAGAGTCAAAACACCATTACCTGGATTTCTTCTAATACAGCAGATCTCCAACAATACTCATGATGAACGTGTGTGTGTGTGTGTGTGTGTGTGTGTGCAGTCGTTAAAGCAGAACACGAGCGTCTCTCACCGTCAGAGTCCAGGTGTCCGGCTCGTACTTGAGCTCGGCGACGGCCTTCTTCCTACTGCACGACACCACCTGAAGATAACGCGCATCTGCGGGCGAGACGGTCTCATGAACATGTTCTGCAGCTTGAATCACCGACAGTCACATGACCTCATCTATCTAACCCGGACCCCGACAGTCACATGACCTCATCTATCTAACCCGGACACCGACAGTCACATGACCTCATCTATCTAACCCGGACACCGACAGTCACATGACCTCATCTATCTAATCCGGACACTGACAGTCACATGACCTCATCTATCTAATCCGGACACTGACAGTCACATGACCTCATCTATCTAATCCGGACACTGACAGTCACATGACCTCATCTATCTAATCCGGACACTGACAGTCACATGACCTCATCTATCTAATCCGGACACTGACAGTCACATGACCTCGTCTATCTAATCCGGACACTGACAGTCACATGACCTCGTCTATCTAATCTGGACACCGTCAGTCACATGACCTCGTCTATCTAATCCGGACACCGACAGTCACATGACCTCATCTATCTAATCTGGACACCGTCAGTCACATGACCTCATCTATCTAATCTGGACACCGTCAGTCACATGACCTCATCTATCTAATCTGGACACCGTCAGTCACATGACCTCATCTATCTAATCTGGACACCGTCAGTCACATGACCTCGTCTCCATGCAGGACTCGTTTGGATCAGGAACTACAGGAACCCTGTCAGTCGCGTCTCTACATTACTGTAATACTACAGGTCACAGTTCACTACTGATAAATTACACAATGCTATTATAATATTATTTTTATGGCATAATTGTTTCTACTCCATTTGGTTATTGAAATAAACATAAATGGTGTCTGTCAAACATTTCTTCATGACACAATTAATTCAAACATTAAAAGTTGTTTTACACTCGTTGAAGACGAAGCGCAGCGTGCGGTAGCGAATCTCCACGGAGCCGAGATCCAGCAGCTTCTGCCGAACACCAGGAACTCCCGAGTCCAGCAGCCACGCGATCGCCTCCGCCAGACAGTCGTCCTGCTGCACACACACACACACACACACACACACACACACACGTTACTGACAGACGTGTCAGAATCCACAGGGTTCCCACACCTCGGCTAACTCCAGACTCGAGGACTCATGTGGGGACACATGTCAAGTGAGAGCAAGGTTACATCATGTTAGTTTAGATACATTGTAACAGTTTTGTGCGCATGAACGTGATAGCAGCGTAGCACACACAGCACCTCACGCAGGACACACTTAACATAACGCGCGAGTGCGCACAGGCCACGCAGTGCTGGCAGAATAACACACTAGCGCAGCGAATAACATGGGATGTTTTCCAGAAAACTTCCAGCACAAAATAAATCCAAGCACTTTGCACAACCTGTGTGTGTGTGTGTGTGTGTGTGTGTGTGTGTGTGTGTGTGTGTTTCAAAAACTTTCCACGGCCTTGATTTTTTTTTTTTTTTTCAGATTCACAAACTTCCCCAGTATCTCCAGGCCGCGTGGGAACCCTGAGTCCAGGTGTGTTACAGGGACAACCCTGAAATTAAACACACTGAGATAAACACTGCAATGAAGCTTCTCACGGTCACACACACACACACGGTCGTGCCAGTGGAGATCTCCTCCAAACCCGTTCATCTTCAGAACACAAATTTAGATATTTCTGATGAAATCCTCCACTGACAGCTTGAACACTTTGAAGGCTCAGAAAGGCAGGAAAGACACTGTTAAAGGAGTAGTTCACTTTAAAAAAAGCTTTTGCTGATAATTTACTCTCCCCCGTGTCATCCAAGATGTCCATGTCTTTCTTTCTTCAGCCGAAAAGAAATGAAGGTTTTTGATGAAAACCTTCCAGGATTTTCTCCATATAATGGACTTCAATGGGAACCAAACGGTTCAAGGTCCAAAAGACAGTTTCAGTGTAAACTGTTCAAAGGGCTTTAAACGATTCCAGACGATGAATAAGGGTCTGATCTAGGACCCTTCGACTCAGGACTCAAAAAAATATTTGTTCATTTTGATTTTGAGTTCGAACAGGAGAGTCACGAACGCGCATCACAGAACAGAGCAAGGCGAGCATTTGAGCTTATAAAACTTGAACTTTGTTATTTATTTATTAAACGAGCGATCGTTTCGCTTGATAAGACCCTTATTCATCGTCTGGTGTTGTTTAAAGCCCTTTGAACAGTTTGCACTGAAACTGTCTTTTGGACCTTGAACCGTTTGGTTCCCATTGAAGTCCATTATATGGAGAAAATCCTGGAATGTTTTCATCATTTACTTTCGACTGAAGAAAGAAAGACATGGACATCTTGGATGACACGGGGTGAGTAAATTATCAGCTAAAGGTTTTTTAAAAGTGAACTACTCCTTTAAAACAGTCCATGTGACTACAGTGGTTCAAACAAAATTTTATGAAGAATCGAGAATCCCGAAAGCAGAAAGCCCCACTGAGCCAGCGGATTCACTCAGAACTATCTTCATTAGTGTCCCGAAGACGATCGAAGGGCTCACGGGTCTGGAACGGCCCGAGCGAACAGTGGCAGAATACAGGCTTACGGCAGCGTACCAAGGAGAATTGTCTGCTCAGCGACACCACGTCTCGGGCTCGGCTCTCCATGTCCCTGCGAGACAGCTGAGCAAAACAACACATGATCAGAACCGGGTCAGCAGGGACGGGCGAGCGTGAGCTGCGACAGCACTGATACGTACGCCTTGCTCCATCGCCTCCAGGATACACTCCAAGATCTCGATCCTCTCCAGCCTCTTCAGACTCAGATCATTCGACACGCTGGAAGATAAAACAGCAATGAGGCGTCTCACGGTCACCAAACACTGACGTGCAGATGAACGGCCAGAACACATTAAAAGTCTTCAGTTGAAACTGTGTCGTGTAAGATAATAACTAGTGATCTGAATCAATCAATCAGAACTAACTTTATCTGGACAGTAACTTTATTCTAGATCTGCTGTAAAGCCCAAACACTCTCTGTGACTGTGATCTCTGTAAAGCTGCTGTGTGTTGCTACAGCGCTGTATCGATGAAGGAGACTCGACAGTCACTTCTGAATCAGATCTCTCTGTGGCGACTCACTTGGAGTCCAGGAAGCCCATCTCGACGGCCCAGAAGGTGGTGGGGTGATTATCCTGCTGTCGGAGGAGAATATGCCACCAGAACACGGACACGTGCATCAGGTGACCCACGAACCTCTTCACCTCCGGCTTTATCTTCACCCACCGCTCATATATGACGTCTAGAACACAGCAACACTCAAACATCTGCCAACCGGCTCATTAAATCACACACACACACTCACACACCAGGGTGGCTACAGGTATAAACAATTTAAATTTAAGACTTTTTAATACCACTTCTAAATTAAATTTAAGACCAAACTTAGGATGGAAATATAAATTAAAACTGAAAATATACAGTAATATTTCCAAGTAAACACACTGTCTGTGAAAAATATGGTGAAATGACAATAACCAATTGTCAATTGCGTACGTGCGGTCGCCTGTGGAGTGAAAAGAAATATAGAATAATAAAAATAATAAAGTATATTAATAAAGGCTTAGATTTAATTTACTAATAAAGGCATAGAACCAGTGCATTTATAGTGTACTGATAATAGTTTCATATAATTAGTTTATTAATTAAACTAATAAAAAGATTTAAAAAAAAAAAAGACTGAGATATGTTTGGTTATTGTACCTTTTAATTAATAAATTAAAATTATTTTGCTATATTTCAGATCAATGTATTTATTTTCCTTAATTTTAATTAACCGTAACTTTATTCTCATCATAAGAATTATAAATAATTGATTACTGTATAAAATAATACTACAAATACTTAAAAATAAACAGATAAGTGCCCTGTTGAGGACAAGAAATGAAAACCAATGCGATATGATGATTGTCCGAAAGAGGAAACTCTGTAACGGCCACCTAGTGTTCGGTAGTGTTCATGACATGTTGATATGGCTTTAAGACGACTTCTTCTATGGTGTTCGTTATTGTATGCGTGATGTTATAATGTGTCAGTGAGAGTGAGAATGCACGCGCAAAGAGGAAGATGATGATGATGATGATGAAAAGGAATGACCGCTCTATCGCGGGTTTGTTTTATTATAATGCGTTTACTTCCACTTTGATTTGTAGCGTTTTACAGAGTGTTTTCTTTTACCTGTTAACATCCGCTCTTTCGACATGTATGTGAAGAGTGTGCTTTACTGAAAGAAAGCAACTATAAAAGGACTCGTGGAACTACCAGTTCGTTTGCACAGTCTTTCCTATTCTTCATCTGGGCAGACCTCAAACTCTGACAGACGTTACAACACAGACAGGGGTTGGATAAATATGTTTTGCTTTTAAAACTGTGTTTTAATGTGATTATAGGCCTACACAAATATAAGTAAACACTTCGCAGACTGAATGTTGTCCTGTATGAACAAAATGACGGATGTTTTTCATGACTCCACTGTTCGATCGCACCCGCGTGTCTCTAACACACACACACACACACACACACACACACACACACACACACACACACACACACACACACACACACACACTCTCTCTCTCTCTCACACACACACACACACACACACACACACACACACACACAGGTTACGTTACCTTGTAGAAAATTCGACCTGGCTGGCAGAACGATTGCCTTTGCTTGCATCTTTGCGGTGACATGACAAACATATTTAAGACCTATCCAATCTGAATTTAAGACAATTTAATACTTTTTAAGGCCTTATTTTTAGGAAAATTGATTTAAGACTTTTTAATACTTTTTAATGACCCGCAGCCACCCTGCGCACACACACACACACTCACTCACCAGGCGGCTCCATGTGAATGAACGGGAACTGGTTCTGATAGATCTGAGAGAAAAGAGAGTGAATCATGGGTGTGTTCAGTACAGTGAGTCACTGAATCGTTTGATCTGAATCACGACTCTATTGTCTTTACAGCAGAATTTGAACTTCTCAAAGTTTGCATCATTGATTCTGTTTAATAAATAAAACTGACATGATGTGTGAATTCTACTCACAATCTTGGTTTTGTGTCGCACAGCATCTACTCCCTCCTCATCCAGATCCGAGTCCTCGATGTCTGACATTCTGGTTAAAAAACATGAGTCATCTTCATTACTGATTATTCATATCGTGTATTGCGTTTAATCTCTTATATATTGTGTGTGTGTGTGTTAATTGTGGTAAATACAATGACAAAGATCGGGAATGTTGAATTCGGGAGGTTAAGTTACCCATACTGCACCTCACCGGCGGACTAACGACAGGTAACAAACACCTCAGAGTCAAAAACACCTTAAAGCGTCAAAAACACCCCAAAGAGTCAAAAACACCTCAATAATACACAGATATTTGTGGTATATCCCGTGATATTTGGTGTCTAACACGTTGATTTCGAGTGATGAACATCTGAGGGAGTTTTTCCTTCAGCTCGCTTAACCAGTTAACGTTAACCGCGAAACGCGCCAAAAGCAAAACTCGACGTGATTCTCACTGATTTTGATTTTAATAACGCATAATAACCTGCACGAGTATGTGTAATGGTTTATCTGATTCTGAGGCAGAGGAACTTTATCAGGAAGTTACACGCGACGTGTCTTCCCCGCGACACTTTATAGGCGTTTATCTGAATCAACTGCGAAAATATCAGTTCTAACAGCGCATCATCAGAAATATGATTTACAGTGTATATTACTAACCTCTGTTAATACGAGAGGAACTGAAGAGCTGCTGATGTTTCCTGATGTCTGAGTCTCTCTCGATGATGATCTCACGCGTGAACACAAACAGCGCGAACAAGAGCGAATACTGGACAGCGCCTCTAGTGTTCGCCCGAGGAACCCCGCAGGTGTGTGTGTGTGCGTGTGAGAGAGAGAGAGACTTTACAACTCTTTATTTAAACGTCCTAAAAAAACCATAAAGAACAATGTATTTCACCCATGTAGACATACTGCTACAATCAGCAAATACGAAGAGAGAGAAAAAATAAAAATAAAATAAAATAAATAAAACAATACAACAATAAAAAAATACATAAATAAATAAATTTAAAAGAAATTTAAAAAAAAGAAAAAAAAGAAAGAGAGAGAGAGAGAGAGAGAGAGAGAGAGAGAGAGAGAGAGAGAGAAAGAGAGAGAGAGAGAGAGAGAGAGAGAGAGAGAGAGAGAGAGAGAACAAACCCAAGAACTGAACCCCTAAAAGAGTCTCCTCAGTCAGCTGGTCCTGAGACTAACTAACCTGACTAACCCTACTAACACTAACCAGTCTCAGACCAGCACTGCTTCTTACACACACATCAGAATAAACCAAATTACCAAACAGTCTAAAATACATATCTGGAACATTGGGATCAGGAAACCAAAACACAAAGTATTCTAGCGATATCTGAAATCAAATTATATAGGAGAAATATCTCCAGCAGAGACGGATCCCGAGCAAGTACAGGCTGTGTGTGTGTGTGTTCATGTTTATATTACATTGTGTGGACCCCACAAGTATAGTAAAACCTGAAAATCACCTACATTGTGGGGTCCAGCCAGCGGTCCCCATGAGGAAAACAGCGTATAAATCATACTAATGTTTTTTTTAAAAATGTAAAAATGCAGAATGTTTCCTGTGAGGGGTAGGGTTAGGGATAGGGGCAGGGAAAGGGGATAGAATATACAGTTTGTACAGTAGAAAAACCATTACGCCTATGGAGAGTCCCCACAAAGATGTGTGCACCTGTTAGAGTGTGTGTGTGTGTGTGTGTGTGTGTGTGTGTGTCTCCAGTCCGCACGAGGGCAGCCCTGCGCACACACAGCGCTCCTCAGAGACTGACCCGCACCAGAGAGAGAGAAGCGATATTTGTGTATTATTTATGATCTGATGATTTCCACACCGTCGGACCGATCGAAGCTCTTCCGTCACCGAAGCCGAAGCCGAAGCCGTTGATAGCGATGGAGAACTCTCCCTCCCCGCTGCCCGAGAGAGCGATCTACGGGTTCGTGCTGTTCCTGGGCTCTCACTGCGGCTTCTGTACGTCTCTGCTACTTCTATGATCGGCACTCTATTCACATGTTTACATCTGTCCGTCAGTTCGCTTTTCTCCAATACATGTTTGATACGTATTTATTAACGTTTTACATCACTTGTCCAGTTGAGAGCCAGTTGACTTTTGTTCTTTATATTTGACTCATTAATTTGATGCTCATAAGTCGCTTTAAAACATATCAAATTAAGAAAGTGTTGAAACCTGTGAGAATTTTGTCAATAACGATCAAAAATACTTACCCGTCATTCTATAATAATAGATTGAGCATTACACACTGTAACACCAATGACATGTTTCATTAAACTTTCTGATTCAAACATCTTATAATGACTGGGAATGGCACTTCTCACTCAACTTTGATCACAGACATTAAAAACCCTAATGAAAAAGTCACTAGAAACATTGTCATTTTCTTGACTATTTGAAGTCTTTTTCATAATTAATACAATTAAATGACTGGTTTGTCTAGTTGCCTTTATTTTTATAGCGCTGTTGTTCCTCTTAGTGCTGTATGTGGTGTGTTGATCAGGTGTGTTGTGTGTTTGTTCCTCTCAGTGCTGTATGTGGTGTGGGCTTCTGTTCCTGACGACTGGCTTCATTCTGCCGGATTGACCTACTGGCCTCAGAAGTGAGTGGCCCTCTTGTGTTGTGTGTACATCTCACCGTGGCCGGGACTAATGAGCTCACCTGTCCACAGATACTGGGCTCTGGCGGCTCCCATTTACATGCTGGTCACTTTAACCACCTGCTTTGTGCTGCTGTTCGGGGTGAATATGATGAACACGGCGCCACTCGCATCAGTGGACAACATCACAGGTGACATCACAATCATAACATCACAGTTGAACATCACAATCACAGCATTACAGGTGACCATCACAATCACAACTTCACAATCACATTACAGGTGAACATCACATTGTCAACATCACAATCACAACATCAAAAGTGACCATCACAATCACAACTTCACAATCACAGCATTACAGGTGAACATCACATTCACAACATTACAGGTGACCATCACAATCACAACTTCACAATCACATTACAGGTGAACAACACATTCACAACATTACAGGTGACATCACAATCACAGCATTACAGGTGACCATCACAATCACAACTTCACAATCACATTACAGGTGAACATCACAATCACAACATCAAATGTGACAATCACAACTTCACAATCACAGCATTACAGGTGAACATCACATTTACAACATCACAATCACAACATCACAAGTGACCATCAAAATCACAATATCACAATCACATTACAGGTGAACATAACATTCACAACATCACAATCACAATATTAAAATCACAACATCATATTCACAACATCACAGGTGAACATCACATTCACAACATCATAATCACAATATTAAAATCACAACATCACAATCACATCATTACAGGTGAACATCACAATCACAGCATTAGAGGTGAACAACACATTCACAGCATCACAATCTGAACATCACATTCACAACATCACAATCACAACATCACAAGTGACCATCACAATCACAACATTACGGATGAAAATCACAGGTGAACATCACATTCACAACATCACAATCACAATATTAAAATCACAACATCACAATCACATCATTACAGGTGAACATCACAATCACAGCATTAGAGGTGAACAACACATTCACAGCATCACAATCTGAACATTACATTCACAACATCACAAGTGACCATCACAATCACAACATTACCGATGAAAATCACAGGTGAACATCACAGGTCTATGAAATGAGAGAGCGAGCAGTGTTGACGTTGCATTACCTTCTTGCACCTCAGTTTTTTGTGATATCACCTTTTAAATTTGGAAGAGTTTTGTTTGACATGTCGCTGTCACCTTCTAGCAATTCTAGAGTCCAAACTATTTTCAAAGATATATATTTTGTATAAAATAATAAGTGTAGTTCAGTAGATTTGCTTTACAGTAAACTTAAACTTCTATGACTTTTTTACACATTCATTGCTTTCACTTCTGCATTAATGTGTTTTATCTACAATATTCCAAAACATTCATGAATTACAACCAGTCAGATCTGTCCTCAAAAAGAAGAGGTTGACGAAGAAGAGATTACACATCTTGCATTGATAAATACAATGATTCTGGTTCATTGTTTGTCTAGACCGCTATGCCAAGAGTCAGCGCACGGATGAGGATCCAGCAGGAGCCATTCCCACATTTCCCAGACTCAGAGACGTTCCCATCAGCCAAATAAACCGTGTGTTTTACCTGGATCCCCACGAGCACTGAGTGTGTGTGTGTGTGTGACACGAATAAACTGTGTATTTCACCTAGAACCCTGCGAGCACTGAGTGTGTGTGTGTGTGTCTGTCATCAGGGCAGGCGTGTGGCGTTTGCTCAGGCTTTAGATGGTCAGATCCATCAGATGTGTGTGACAGCCCTGAGATGTGACTTTCAGATGAACCCGAGCGCCCGTCGTGACCCGCTGACCCCCGATATGAAGACTTCAAATAAAGCCAATAAAACATCAGTGTGTTTCACGTCTCTCAGATACTGATGTGACGTTTGCTGCGGTCGTGTGACTGCTGAACTATAACTCGTTTCTCTAGTTCACACTTGCATATAATTAGAGGGAGATATTTGAATGCATATTTGGCATGCTGTCCGGGGGAAGAAGGGCTTCGAGGTCAGTACTCCCTCGTCCTGCCCCCGGTCTGCGAGTGCTTATGACGAGAAGCGAGGAGAACGGGGCGGTGGAGGGATGCAGCGAGCTGAGGCTTCTGGGATATATACACCTCTCCTCGCTGACTGCTGATCGCGCTCCTCTCGTGTTCATTTTCTGCGTGTGCTCCTCCTGAACTTTGTTAATAAAAAAACATCATTTATTGTCTGTCTTTGTATCTTATGTTGGTTAAAATTTACAATAAAAATCATTGAAATAATAAGAATTGCTGGCGTGACCTCTGTGACCCCGGGCTAGAAGTGAAGCGGTCATCATCTCTATCAGCCCATCTGCAGAAGGTGTGTGTTCCTGCTCGTCTGCACCTGAGGACCCTCGTGAGCAAACACACCGGTGTCAGGTGACCCTTGACCCCGCGACCCCAACACCGTCGCCTGCAGAACACTGACTCCTCTAGTTTTCCTTTTCTCATGTTTGGTTTTTTAGAATATTACAGAAGCTTGTTTCTGCCACGGATAAATAATAAAAAAACTCTTTTTATCTCACAATGGGCTCTATGCACGGCGTTATTTCCGGTGAAGGATTAAGGATGCTCGATAACTTCCGCCGATCGTAGAGTCCAATGCAATACCGAGAATTTATATTGAATTCTATACTCCATGGTTATACTAATGAAACGTTAGTCACAAAAACAGATAAAACAGACACCCCTCGTTGTGTTTATGCTTCTTTTAAAAATTATATTAAATAAACATAACTATATATAAAATTACATCTAAACGTATGTACGTTTCGTTTCAAAGACGGGAGGACCGTAAATATTGAAGACTCTGCCATAATCCCGTTTTCTCCGGTTTTCCTCCGCTTTAATCTCCACAACCGGAAATGGATGAGCATCCTTAGGTTAAATGCGGAACTTATGCGTGCATATAGCCCATTATGAGTTTAGATATAAATATAAATGTGGAATTCCAAGATCAGAATTACCATTTTTATTTAGTGGTGGAAACAAGCTTCCATAGAAACTCATTAGATCCTCATTAATGTTTCTTTGCATTATTCTGCTGTTTAGCCATCAATATTCTAAAAACCTGTTTTTAAAGTTTGAACACTGTTATAATTATTAATAAATGGTGCGGATACACATGCACATTGAGCAGTTTCTGTGTTTATTTGTGTTTAGACTATAGTGCTTTATACACTGCAGCTTCACAGTAATAATGATGCATACAATCATGATATTATGGAAATGGTAACAGTTTAAATAAGGTTAATTAGTTAACATTAATAAATGTATGAACTAACAAGGAGCAATAGACTTGCTACAGTATTTATTAATCTTTGTTAATGTGAGTTATTAATAATCCAGCTGTTCATTGTTTGTTCATGTTAGTTCACAGTGAATTAACTAATGTTAACAAATACAACCTTTGTTTATCAGCAAATGTTGAAGTTGCTATTAACTAAGATGAATAAACGCTGTAGAAGTATTGTTCATTCTTAGTTCATGTTCACTATTGGACCGTAGTAACAGAGTGTAACCATGGAAACAACATCCAGGAGTAGCACGATCAGGAGAGTAACACGAGCACACAGATGTGGACGCCGGAGAGCGGATGTTCCTCGGATCACGTGTTCCGACCCGTGTGTCCTGATCAGAGTTCATGAGCACAGCTGTCCTTACTCTCCCTGAACCCATCCGAGGTGTGTATGACACAAACACACAGTTGTATTAAACATGTCCTGGCTCTTCCACGCTTGCGGGCTTAAGTAGACGGTGTTTGGCCGGAAGCTACAATTTAACTTTGTAACGTGTTAAATATGGATATTTTACATCGCTTCAGAAGGACATTATTAACCCTGGAGCCCGTGGAGCATTACATGATGGATGATGCACTTTATGGACTTCAAAACAGAAACGCTCTTTCACTGCCATTATAAAGCTTGGGAGAGTCATGTTTAATATAACTCTGTGTTCGTCTGAAAGAAGAGTGTCATACACACCTAGGATGGCTTCAGGGCTAATTTTCATTTGTGGGTGAACTATCCCTTTACTGTGTGTCTGTTTCTCCATCGTCCTCTTCCTCAGAGCTGGAGTCTTCATCGTTGTAAAAGTGCAGCGTGGCCTGAGCGGGGAAGCTGGCCAGAACCGTCCGGCCTAGATGAGACAGATACTCCTGGATCCGTGATCTGGGCAGGAACAGCCTGTGGATGGACGGATCCGTCAGAAACAGAAACACAGACTCCTCCTTCTGGTTAATAGCTGATATTTGAAAACTCTGAGAGCTAATAAACATGTAGAGAAGAGTAAGAGCTTAGGTTGCAGACCTTACGGGATGATGGAAATAACCTGCAGACGCCGGAACCCGCCTCGTGCCTCCAGGAACCCCCTGAACACAAGAACACACGAATACAAGAACACCTGAACACAAGAACACCTGAACACAAAAACCCCCTGAACACAAGAACACCTGAACTCAAAAACCCCCTGAACACAAGAACACCTGAACACCCTGAACACAAGAACACCCTGAACACAAGAACACCTGAACTCAAAAACCCCCTGAACACAAGAACACCTGAACACAAAAACCCCTGAACACAAGAACACACGAATACAAGAACACCTGAACACAAGAACACCTGAACACAAGAACCCCCTGAACACAAGAACACACGAATACAAGAACACCTGAACACAAGAACACCTGAACACAAGAACCCCCTGAACACAAGAACACACGAATACAAGAACACCTGAACACAAGAACACCTGAACACAAAAACCCCTGAACACAAGAACACCTGAACACAAGAACACCTGAACTCAAAAACCCCCTGAACACAAGAACACCTGAACACAAGAACACCTGAACACAAGAACACCTGAACACAAGAACCCCTGAACACAAGAACACCTGAACACAAGAACCCCTGAACACAAGACCTGAACACAAGAACACCTGAACTCAAAAAACCCCTGAACACAAGAACACCTGAACTCAAAAACCCCCTGAACACAAGAACACCTGAACACAAGAACACCTGAACTCAAAAAACCCCTGAACACAAGAACACCTGAACTCAAAAACCCCCTGAACACAAGAACACCTGAACTCAAGAACCCCCTGAACACAAGAACACCTGAACTCAAAAACCCCCTGAACACAAGAACACCTGAACTCAAAAACCCCCTGAACACAAGAACACCTGAACTCAAAAACCCCCTGAACACACAAATACAAGAACACCTGAACACAAGAACACCTGAACTCAAAAACCCCCTGAACACAAGAACACCTGAACTCAAAAACCCCTGAACACAAGAACACCTGAACACAAGAACACCTGAACACAAGAACACCTGAACTCAAAAACCCCCTGAACACAAGAACACCTGAACTCAAAAAACCCCTGAACACACAAATACAAGAACACCTGAACACAAGAACACCTGAACACAAGAACACCTGAACTCAAAAACCCCTGAACACAAGAACACCTGAACACAAGCACACAAGAACACCTGAACACAAGAACACCTGAACACAAGAACACCTGAACACAAGAACACCTGAACTCAAAAACCCCCTGAACACAAGAACACCTGAACACAAGAACACCTGAACTCAAAAACCCCCTGAACACAAGAACACCTGAACACAAGAACACCTGAACACAAGAACCCCCTGAACACAAGAACACCTGAACACAAGAACCCCCTGAACACAAGAACACCTGAACACAAGAACACCTGAACACAAGAACACCTGAACACAAGAACACCTGAACACAAGAACACCTGAACACAAGAACACCTGAACACAAGAACACCTGAACACAAGAACACCTGAACACAAGAACACCTGAACACAAGAACACCTGAACACAAGGACACAGACTCTGAAATCAACATATCAATACACAGAGAAACGAAAAGCAGCACAGGAACATTCTGTCAAAGTTCAGAAAAAAAACGTTCTTCCAGTCACATTAATAGAACGTTTAATAGAAATGTTTTCTAGTCTTTAATAATTTTTTAAAACATAAGAACAAAACATTATTTATACATTGCTCATCAAACGTTTTTTTCCGAAACATAGTTAGACATTCTTCAAATATTTGGTAACACTTTCCAATAAGGTTCATTAGATAACATTTGTTACCTTAGTTAGCATGAACTAGTAATGAACTGCACATATACAGCATTTCTTTATCTTAGTTATTATTAATTTCAACCTTTACTAATACGTTATTTAAAATAAAGGTTGTATTTGCTAAGAATAGTTAATGCACTGTGAACTAACATGAACAAACAATGAACAGCTGAATTATTAACTCACATTAATAAATATTAGTATTTAATTGCTCATTGTTAGTGCATGTTAGTTAATACAATAAGTAATGTTAACTAATAAACAGTATTGTAGTGTAACCAATATTTTCTAAATATTACTCCATGTTTTTAGAACGTTCAGAGAATATTCCAAAGTAACGTTCCCATAATAACGTTTGAAGAATGACACAAAGGAATGTTCCCTTAACGTTCACAGAACAAACGCTTTTAAGAGAACATGCAGATAACTTTCAAAAGTACGGTTTCATAACTTTAAGGGAATATTAGCAGAACTTGAAGTAAAATAAAAATGTTACTTTATTTAACTGTGTCTCTCTTGATGAAAGATCCCACGGTCTCCATATCACAGGACAACTATTAATACACAGGAGAGGAGAGTCATTAAAGACTATTAATATGAAAACAGAGGAATTAACCGAAACTCTTACCCGAGCACCTGATCCACGTGCACACTCACCGGCAGCATCATTACACACTGATGCGCGCTCCCGGGCACTGATGAAGGCGCGCGCTGAGAGGAGGCGTGTCCTGCGCGCACCCGCCAATCAATACAAATCAATTTTTTTCATTCGAAAAAAATTTTCCCGGCGTTTGGGTGAAGCTAGGAATATTATAGGCAGGGGACGTTCCCGAGTTATAATAGCAAACACACACACACACACACACACACACACACACAACACAGCTCTTGAACAGTAATATGAGTTATAATAGAGAAAACACTGTTTGAAAGCTCGTGTGAAACGGCGCGTTCTTACAGTATTTATTTTCTATGATTTGATAATTAGATGATGATCACAGTCACACACAGCTGATACTCAGCACAACAGCGAGATTTTCTTCACATTCTGACACACACCTTTGAGGACACAGACACAGATCCGCATCGAGTTCTGCAGAACATGTCTATTAAACATTATAGACATGACGTCATTCTGATTTATAAATCATCGAAACTCATTACACTCTCAAAATGACGAGTCGACGGCGGCCGCTAGAGGGCGAGGGAGGTGTGTGTGTGTGTGTGTGTGTGTGTGTAAGTGAAAAGCTCATATGTTTGTCAGTGCCTGAGTTTGCTCAGCTGCTGCTGGATAATAATCCTCATTAGTTTAATAAATGATCATTATGATTATTAGACTGGCTGATACACACTCACATCATCTGTGTGATTACAGACAATGATGTCATTGATCTACTGTACACACACACACACACACACAGAGAGAGAGAACAATGAACACAGAAGCATTCATTACTGATTCACACATAGAAAAAAAACCAAAAAGCATTATGAATATTTAGATATGGTTTATTTATGAGCTTCTTGTGACAGAGTAATTATCTAAATCAACAAGAAAATCAGAATGATCGTCTGTCATATGCGCTAAACTGTATAAACACCGTTTATAATGTACAGTAATATGGCTTGTGAAAGAAGCTTTAGAGGATCCGTACAGTAAAACCTTCATATTCCTGATTTCATATTTCTGGAGTGATGGAGTGAGATATGAGTGACACGTGTGCGGATGGCTTCATCAGCAGGGCTTTAAAGGGCACTTCATCGGTCAAATCATCCGGCTCTACTGGAGATATTACTGGAGATATTACAGTATATTACTGGAGATAATACTATATTACTGAAGATATTACTGGAGATATTACAGTATATTACTGGAGATATTACTATATAACTGGAGATATTACTGTATATTACTGGCGATATTACAGTATATTACTGCAGATATTACTGTAGGACTCGTCATGACCGATGCCGTTCATCAACATTTCTGCCACATCAGCTTCTGTATATCATAATTATGAGATTACAAAGTCAAAAATATTAAGTTATGATAAAAAGTAGAAATTATTACACACTAAGCCATAATCATTTTGCTCAAAATTATGCTTTTTTTAATGAAATTTCCACACACTCAAGTGTTAATGAAAAAGAGTGCATCAATTCTTTCTTTGATATATTGCATATTCAGATATTCTACACAATATTCAGGGCGCTGTGAAAGTTTTGTGATCATATCATGAAATATGATCCAAAATACTGGCGTTGACTGGCAACTTTTGAAAAACGCTGGTGAGGAAAGAGTTAATTATGATTGTCATGACAATTTCAATACTTTGTCAATTTCTACTTTTATGTCAATTTAGATTTTTAATGTCATAATTATGGCTTAGTGTGTCAATGTCAAGTTTTTATTTCATAAATATGATATCATAGACAATAGTCTATTCTGGGGCGTGAAACTTGTGTGAAACTTATTAAAAAATCTGGAGGTGTCCATCAACTCTTTTACTTGTCATAATGAACTATTTCAACGTTAAATTTTATGTCAACTTCATTCCTTTTTCAATTTCCCATTTGTCCTAATTTGTTGTCATAACTGTGATTCAGAGAAGCTGATGATGTCAGAGGAGCGCTCGCGTGAGACTGAGGAACACACTGGTCACATGATCGCCAGAGGAGACACCTGTCAATCAGACACCGCCGCTCTCAACGTGTGCAGTGTGTTTGAGTGTGTGTCTGATCGACAGTGTGTCTGATTGACTGAGTGTCTGATTGACAGTGTGTCTGATTGAAAGTGTGTCTGATTGACAGTGTGTCTGGTTGACAGTGTGTTTGACTGAGTGTGTCTGATCAACAGTGTGATTGACAGTGTGTCTGATTGACAGTGTCTGATAAACAGTGTTTGACTGAGTGTGTGTCTGATTGAAAGTGTGTCTGATTGACAGTGTGTCTGATTGACTGAGTGTCTGATTGACAGTGTGTCTGATTGACAGTGTGTCTGATTGACAGTGTGTTTGACTGAGTGTGTTTGATTGACAGTGTGTTTGATTGACAGTGTGTCTGATTGACAGTGTGTCTGATTGACAGTGTGTCTGATTGACAGTGTGTCTGATTGACTGAGTGTCTGATTGACAGTGTGTCTGATTGACAGTGTGTTTGACTGAGTGTGTTTGATTGACAGTGTGTTTGATTGACAGTGTGTCTGATTGACAGTGTGTCTGATTGACAGTGTGTCTGATCGATAGTGTGTCTGATTGACAGTGTGTTTGACTGAGTGTGTCTGATTGACTGAGTGTCTGATTGACAGTGTGTCTGATCGACAGTGTGTCTGATTGACAGTGTGTCTGATTGACAGTGTGTTTGACTGAGTGTGTCTGATCAACAGTGTGATTGACAGTGTGTCTGATTGACAGTGTCTGATAAACAGTGTGTTTGACTGAGTGTGTGTCTGATTGACAGTGTGTCTGATTGACAGTGTGTCTGATTGACAGTGTGTCTGATCGACAGTGTGTCTGATTGACAGTGTGTTTGACTGAGTGTGTCTGATTGACTGAGTGTCTGATTGACAGTGTGTCTGATCGACAGTGTGTCTGATTGACAGTGTGTCTGATTGACAGTGTGTCTGATTGACAGTGTGTTTGACTGAGTGTGTCTGATCAACAGTGTGATTGACAGTGTGTCTGATTGACAGTGTCTGATAAACAGTGTGTTTGACTGAGTGTGTGTCTGATTGAAAGTGTGTCTGATTGACAGTGTGTCTGATTGACAGTGTGTCTGATTGACAGTGTGTCTGATTGACAGTGTGTCTGATTGACAGTGTGTATGATTGACAGTGTGTCTGATCGACAGTGTGTTTGACTGAGTGTGTCTGATCAACAGTGTGTCTGATTGACAGTGTGTCTGATTGACAGTGTGTGTGATTGACAGTGTGTCTGGCAGTGTCTGATAAACAGTGTGTTTGACTGAGTGTGTGTCTGATTGAAAGTGTGTCTGATTGACAGTGTGTCTGATTGACAGTGTGTTTGACTGAGTGTGTCTGATCAACAGTGTGTTTGATTGACAGTGTCTGATAAACAGTGTGTTTGACTGAGTGTGTGTCTGATTGAAAGTGTGTCTGATTGAAAGTGTGTCTGATTGACAGTGTGTCTGATTGACAGTGTGTCTGATCGACAGTGTGTTTGACTGAGTGTGTCTGATCAACAGTGTGTTTGATTGACAGTGTGTCTGATTGACAGTGTGTGTGATTGACAGTGTGTCTGATTGACAGTGTCTGATAAACAGTGTGTTTGACTGAGTGTGTGTCTGATTGAAAGTGTGTCTGATTGACAGTGTGTCTGATTGACAGTGTGTCTGATTGAAAGTGTGTCTGATTGACAGTGTGTCTGATTGACAGTGTGTCTGATCGACAGTGTGTTTAACTGAGTGTGTCTGATCAACAGTGTGTCTGATTGACAGTGTGTTTGATTGACAGTGTGTTTGATTGACAGTGTGTCTGATTGACAGTGTGTCTGATTGACAGTGTGTGTGATTGACAGTGTCTGATAAACAGTGTGTTTGACTGAGTGTGTGTCTGATTGAAAGTGTGTCTGATTGACAGTGTGTCTGATTGACAGTGTGTTTGACTGAGTGTGTCTGATCAACAGTGTGTTTGATTGACAGTGTGTCTGATTGACAGTGTCTGATAAACAGTGTGTTTGACTGAGTGTGTGTCTGATTGAAAGTGTGTCTGATTGACAGTGTGTCTGATTGACAGTGTGTCTGATCGACAGTGTGTTTGACTGAGTGTGTCTGATCAACAGTGTGTTTGATTGACAGTGTGTCTGATTGACAGTGTGTGTGATTGACAGTGTGTCTGATTGACAGTGTCTGATAAACAGTGTGTTTGACTGAGTGTGTGTCTGATTGAAGTGTGTCTGATTGACAGTGTGTCTGATTGACAGTGTGTCTGATTGAAAGTGTGTCTGATTGACAGTGTGTCTGATTGACAGTGTGTTGATTGACAGTGTTTGATTGACAGTGTGTCTGATTGACAGTGTGTCTGATTGACAGTGTGTCTGATTGACAGTGTGTCTGATTGACAGTGTGTCTGATTGACAGTGTGTCTGATTGACAGTGTCTGATTGACAGTGTGTTGATTGACAGTGTGTCTGATTGACAGTGTGTCTGATTGACAGTGTGTCTGATTGACAGTGTGTCTGATTGACAGTGTGTTTGGACTGTCACTGTCGTTGTTTTCCCGCACGCTGGTGTCATTTCTTGACCCGACAGGTATATCCAGATCTTACCGTTTTGTTTCAACTGCTTACACACAAAATCCTCACTTTTTTCAGGTTTCACAAGTTCTGAAACCTGACAGTCAAACAGCAGAAACACACACTAGATCTGCAAAACCACACACTCATTCTCAGCCTTCAACTCAGTTTTCAATCTCATAAAACACACAATTCTCTCAAATCTAACAGGAAGTCTCTTGATTTTCTCAAACACAATCTATCAAAACACCGCAGTAGTTCATCAGAGCCTCACACACACTCCTCACATGTGCACACACTCTTTACTGAACACACACCGATCATGGCTTTAGAACAGGCCTATAAAGGTCAAAGGTCGAGATCTGGGTGCTTCGGACTGTAATATTGTATTCACAGCCACAAACGCTTACAGTCAAAATAGATCGTTTTGGGTTCAATGTTGCTTTCGTGTTTACCGTGAACGCTTCAACATCTCGGCCGATGACTTTCACTCGAAATATTATATTATGGCAGAGGTGTTTACAACGCTTTTGAGGTGTGTGTGATATTCTGAATGCAGTGCTTCATTTAGCAGGAGATGTGCGGCGTTTTGTGCGCAATTCTTGGATTTGTGTGTAAAGTGTGTGTAAGCAGATGAAAAACACAGTAAGATCTCTCTGGCGTCGGCTCTGTGGATCGCCGGTCTCCGACTCGCGGGTTTGCGTCTGAAGTGTGTGCCGAAAGCAGTCGCACGGAGCGGTCCGGCTCTTTGGTGTCGAGTCACGTGTGTGTGAGTGAGCGCTGGTGTGTGTCGCCGCTTCTGATCCGCGAACACGCTGAGAGTCTGCAGCATCGGCTCCGATAGCGCAGTCCAGTGATGATGATGAGTTAGAGGAAGAGCAAAGAGAGAGAGAGATCATGGCCTGATGACGGAAGGTTATTGGAGCACACGCGCGCGCGCACACACACTCTCTCTCTCTCTCTCACACACACACACAAACGCGCGTGTGAGATCTCCGCTATTATAGCCTACAGTTCCTCATGTTCATATATTCTGTACATCAGAGTCAGGGATCGTTTCAAACATGCGTGGATAAATATGTCTGTCGTATCAAACAACCGCACATCTCAAACCAAAAACAGATATATACAAAAAATACAAATGCCCTAGAATCTATATATATTCATATACATATATAGGTTTTTAATCTTTGAATTACAAATCTGAAAATATCATTTCTTATATCTTTAAGAAAAAGAGGTTTCGGGAACCATGCAGTCGCCCCGAGCGAGATCCGTGTCCTCGGGGCGCGTTCCTGAGCTGACCTCTGACCCCTGACCTCAGCCAAACGTCCTGCGCTCAGAGGCGAGGAGAGATGCCCGTGTGCTCCTACACTTTCGACTCGTTCTCCATGTTGGCCACGTCCCCGTTCCTCTCGCTGGGCTCGTCGAGCTGGCTCAGTTTGCTAGCGACGGACCAGCTGAGCGGCAGGCGGGAGCGCGCGGTCATCTCCGCTAGCTCGCGCGCGCTGCAGCTGGGAGTGCTGGTCTCGTAGATGTCGTGGAAACTGTTGTAGTCCACCTCGTAGAAGCCGTCCTCCAGCGTCAGGACCGGCGTGAAGCGATAGCCCCACTTTATCTCACTCGACACGTACGAGCTGCGCGCCTGACACGTCATTCCTGAGGAAACACACACACACAGGTGAGGAACCATCTGAGGATCTTAAAGGGACAGTTCGTCCAATATTCATGGATAGATGCACATTTTTATGTTTTGTTTTATTTATTTATATAGCACAGTTTAACACAACTCACGTCGCCCAAAGTGCTTCACAATCACGAGCTAAACCACAGCAGAAATAGACATACACATCACATAGACAGTAACCCAATCGGCTTTATGCTCAGCCGCACTACTTCCTGAACTTCAGCCAGCTCCTTGTTTCCTGTCTGCCATTATTGGACAAACTTGATTAATTCAGGTGTGTCTGATTTTTGTTGCCGTGACTACTGAGGTCAGGCAAACCTGGATTAATCAAGTTTGTCCAATAATGGAGGACAGGAAACAAGGATCTGGCTGAAGTTCAGGAAGTAGTGCAGCTGTGCATAAAGCCGATTAAGAAAGCTCTCGTTATTAGAAATAACACGATGTTGTTTTAGCTTCGAACATGTTTCAGGATTTGGCAGATCGATCAGATTGAGGGAGTCAGCACGAGAAACGGCTCCGGCACTTTTGTGTTGGGATGTTGTCTTATTTTCTGATCTCAAGGATCTAGCGGGGATGTAGACTGACATCTTGGATTTGGATTTTCTGTAGACATTTTGTTTTCAATTGCTTTCTCAAAATCTGAAGTAGACAGAAATGCTTTAGTCTTAGCTAACAGACTAACTAATTTGCCTGTCCAACTTTAAATCATTATTCAGAACAGACCCACTTTGTTCACACTAGATTTAATAAAACCATTCAAAGAAGTTGCATTCAAGTGTTTTCAAGGGCCAAACACAATTACCTCGGTTTTACTTTCGTTAAGCTTCCAGACTGATCTCATGAAGTAGCGTGTGTATGACACGCCAATTCGTATTTCCATTTTTGGAAAAGACGCATAATCGCCTTTCAGCGTGTTTATGAACGCCGTTGACTTAACGTTATATAAATATATGACTTACCTCAACCCCGTCCCTAAACCTAACCGTCACTGGGGTTAATGGCATTTATGACTGGAGATTTGACTGTGTGTACAGACACGCGGAATGACGCGGACGTTAATGGCGTAGACATACACGCATACACGCGGATACACGATACAATGTTTATGTTTCCGAAAAACAGCCCCCAATGGCAGTATATCGGGGAAAAAGAATGGGAGCAAGGACTGAGCCTTGTGGGACTCCCGAGGAAGATCTCGTCCCCACCGCTGAAGAGGAGGATCTGTCCCCGAGAGAACATTTGACCCTTCGAGAACATCACCTTTCAGACCCACACACTGCTCTAAGCGATTAGTTCAAATCTCACGATCCACCAGATCAAACGCTTTCACCGTTATCCAGCGAGACAGAAACGGCATTCAACACTTCGACCAGCGCTGCGGCCGGACTCAAGCCCGACTGAAGGGGTTCGCTAATCGAATTTGCAGTAATAGGTGCTTGTAGCTGTGTAAATACTAAAACCTTTGCTAAAAAGGTACATTTGAAATTGGTCTACAATTATTAAGATCCTCTATTGCCAAATTTAAATCCTAAGCCTCTTTAATAAAGGATGAACTAAACTCTGCTGGGCAAGGGCCCGACTGAGGCCGTGGTGATGAGGTCCAGCACTAGCGAAGATCTGCTCAACAACACGAGGGATATGACATCACTCTCAGATGAAGCAGCACACGGTGTACATCAGCTGGACGCTTCACTCCATTCCCACACGGCACAGCCAGGCCAGAGGACGGACACACCTGTCATCCAGTATTGGAGAGTGTATAGCAACAATATTATCTTTAATAATTTCATAAAGTTTTCACAATTCAAGATAGAAGGATCTGGATACCTAGTTGCCGTAGGGTTAATAACTGAATTAATTATCTTAAATAAAATTTTAGGATCATTAACGTGTTGAGTGATAATATCCGAGTGATACTTATGTTTAGCATCAGAGGCCTTCTGAAAATTCTTGAAAATCTCAAACTGCAATTTGTGTTTTTCCGCCTCCTCTCAGCTTGTCGAGTGTGTTGTCTAAGTGCCCGTAGGGGTTCATTATCCCATGGCAAATGTTTAATTTGACCCCTTTAGAAATTAAAAAATTTCAAATTAAAATGTGCTGATCATTCACTCTCCTCCACATCCTCCAAGATGTTCATGTGTTTCTTTCTTCAGTGGAAAAAAAATGAAGGTTTTAGAGGAACACACTCCAGGATTTGTCCATATAGTGACTTCAATGGGGTCCAACGGGTTGAAGGTCCAGATGTCAAAGACCTTAAGTTCTTTTCCACTGAAGAAAGAAACACAAGAACATCTTGAGGAGGACGTGGAGGAGAGTGAATGATCAGCAGTTTAATTTGAAAGTACTACTTTAAAGCTCCACATGAAACCACTGCGATGCCGTCAGTCCTGGTGAACTGAAGCTCTGAGCCTTTCCACTGTTCTGGAGACAGGAGACGACACACACACACACACACACACACACACACAGCTGAGGCCGTCTGCTGGCCAGAGCCATGAACAGCAGCACACACACATATACATTATGTCTTTAAATTCAGTGATCTAAACAAGGTCCGACTTTCAGCATCATGTCAGCCTGACTGAAACTATATTACAATGAAAACAACATTAATATAAAATACTGTCCAGTAGAACATTCCGAAAATCCAGTTTAATGTGGTTCTGTGTAGAACTCTAGGGTTCTGGACTCGATTTAAAGAACAATCTATATGAGAAATGTCTTGACTGATTGCATAATATTTCATCTTTAATGGGTTATTTCAGTTTTTTCAACTGAAATTAGTTTTTACAAGCTGTTTAATTACTCAAATTTAAATGAATTATGAATGAATCTAAACCCATAAAGTGATCCCATGATGGAACCCCAGTAGTTCTCTATATTACAGCAGATTCCCAGCAGAACCTGTTGTTCTGTGAGTGTGTGTGTGTGTGTGTGTGTGTGTGTGTGTGTGACGTGAAGCTTCAGACAGAACAACAGTGTGTGTACGTGCTGAAAGCCTCTTCACACACGTGTCTAGAACACTAAACCAGTCGAGGGTTCAAAGGTCACCGTCTTCAGTCTCTGCAAGAGTGTCACATCTGTGAGTGCTCATACACACACACACACACACACACTTATATGACGTGTGTCTCAGAGTCAGTGCAGGAGCTTCATCACATCGTGTTTCATAGATTCCCTTCAGTGCATTATCGAGAACACACACACACACACACACACACACTCCGTCAGCGAGAGCGGCTGGTTTGTTTGATACACAGTTCGCTAGAGAAGTTTCATTCTTCTGCTGTGAGATAAAGTTTAAGCCAAATCCCTCCGTCCGGCGCTGGTGTCACAGGTGTGTGTTCAGTGTTATCAGCAGACAACAGCCAGAACTCTCTCACACACACACACACACACACAAACCCTCACTGCGGCCTTGTGATGAGCTCACACAATTACAAACACACACTCACACAAAGAGCTGCTGCAGAAGCTGCACACCGAGCCGAACACACACTGATAAGAGCTCGTCCCTGTCGACACGTGTCTTGTGATGATGCTCATACTTGTTCCCTCGTCACCATGGCAATAGGTCAGCTGTGATCACACTCACACACGCTCACACACACACACGCTTCCCGTTCCCCGGTCATGCCCTGAGCGCGGCGGCCCGACACAAGCGCTACACAGCAGCCGCGAGTCCCACACCGATCCTGGAGAACACACTCCACACACTCTCCAACCAGACAACATGACATCATGACTTTTGCGTAAATATACACGCTTTCGAGTCAAGTGGCGTGTTATCTCCACGCATTTTGAGCTATCCGCGTGTATGCGTGTATGTCTACGCCAGTAACGTCCGAGTGATTCCGCGTGTCAGTACAAATGTCCGCGCGAAACGAAGCAAAATGCAGATCTACATCTGGGGAGCGATCTTTTCTTTCCTAGGATGGTGAGGGAACAGTCATAAATGCCATTAACCCCAGTGACGGTTCGGTTTAGGGACGGGGTTGAGGTAAGTCATATATTTATATAACGTTAAGTCAACGGCGTTCATAAACACGCTGAAAAGAGATTATGCGTCTTGATAGCACGCCAAAAATGGAAATACGAATTGGCGTGTCATACACACGCTACTTCATGAGATCAGTCTGCACCAGATGTGTGTGTGTGTGTGTGTGTTGTTCCTCACTGGTTACTCATAGTGTTTCAAATTTTGAACAGAAGGAACTGAGAATCAATAATGACGACTGAGCATCATAATAACAGTAGTAATGATAATAACAGTAATCCTCCGGCGGCGGCGCCGTGATTTAGAGAACGCTCTTATATAATGTCAGTGGGCTCTCCAGCGTCTTCATGGCAACCGCACTCACATTCCTCAAAATAGCAGCACCGTTGCAGAGAGCGAACACACTGCTTTCCTAGTTGTAGAAGATCCTCCATTTCAGCAGCTTTAATGAGTGTGTGTGTGTGTGTGTGTGTGTGAACAGATGGATCTCAGCATCACACACTCGCTGTTGGGAAGAGCAGAGACTCGTGGAGAAGCGAGAGGATGAAACTTCACTTCAGTTATTGAGTTACGACTGGACTAAAGGAATCGTCCAAATATTGAGTCGTTTTAATGTTTTTAAATGTTAAACCTGTTTCAGATTGGGCTGAACATTAATAACTCTGGACTAGAGCATCAGGCGTCGAAGATCTCTGTCTCCGGTCTGATTACACATCACTGTAAACACACACTCTCTGAAATGATGCGTATTGTGAAGTGAATTGAATTATATTCTTATTTATTTATGGAATATTACAGTGTTCATTATAATGATTTATGTGTGTACATCATTACTGTGCTCATACTTTTGAATGAGAATCAGTTCCTCTTTAGCATCTCTTCTCTGATGATGTGGGCGGGGCCACCTGTCACTCACAGGAGATCAGCCAATCACAACCATCCAATCAACTCCCCACAGACACGGTCAAGCCCCGCCCACATGTGTTCCTGTTTCTCTCGATATACGACACACTGGAGGAGAGAAGACCAGCGCTGCTTCTCTTTCATGCTGAGTTTAATGTTGATGCAACATGACAGCGATGACGTGTCGACCTGCAGAAACACACGAGTGATTCAATCGCTCTAATAAACTGTGTTCTGCCCGGTGTGTGTGTGTGTGTGTGTGTGTGTCTAATCGAATACATCCAACAACAGCCAGGGAACAGTCCTCCACATCCGACACACAGCAGGACTGAGCTCACTGCAACAACACACACAAAATAACACACATTCCAGCATCACCTGTGTGTGTGTGTGTGTGTGTGTGTGTGTGTGTGTGTGTGCCTGAAGCGACGGATCTGTCTCTTGTTTTGCTGAACCTTCAAGGAAACTTTGTCTTCCTGAATCCAGGATCATGTAAGTGGGAAAAGAGCAGTGTTGGGTAAGTTACTCTAAAAAAGTAGTTAATTACTAGTTACTAATTACTTCTTCAACAGTGTAATTAGATTACTGTACTAATTACTCTCTTTAAAAAGTATTTGATTACTTTTAATAACTAATTACTTTCAAAATCCCATATCAATCTCAACCAGCTGAATCATTAATTCTTTCAAATAAATACAATAAAATTGCATGAATTATCCTTAAACTGACCAAGGTGGAGAAGGTTACATTATAAAAACATAGTTTTTAACATCAGACAATACATTTTGATGTTAAACCCAGTATTGTTTCGATCTCGTGACATTTCACACTTTTTTCATACATATTTTACAATAATTCATATGAATTTGTACGAGTGCGGTCGTACGATTTAGACACCTCATAAAATGCATACGGATCGCTGTGAGATCGGATTGATCTATACACAGAATTTGGCTCGATCACATCAGAAGTAACTGTAATTAAATTACAGATAAATGAAGAGTAATCCCTTACTTTACATTTTCAATGGAAAAGTAATTTAGTTACACCCAACACTAGAAAAGAGCTCATGAAATAATTGTCAAGTCTCCAATGATCCACACACACACACACACAAGGTCACACTGATATGGTGTTTCCAGTGCTGGATATCTGTGGGATATTTCCCAGTACTCGGAGTGTTTATAAGCCGCTGTGTATCGATCTTGTACTATATTTATATTGTGAGCCCATGTTTCTCAGGCTGACGCTGTTAAAGGGATCATTCTGGGATAGAAATCCATTCCCCATTTACTCACTTTAACAGATGCTTAAAAAATGATGGGAGATTATTAAAAATATAGGAAAATCTGGAAGGACATGTGGGCGAGTAAATGATGCCAGAATGTTCATGCATAAATGTAACTGTCCCTTTAAGACCATCCGTGTGAAGGATGCGAGCGGTGTGTTCTTCCAGCTTTATGACAGAGGTGTGTGTGTGTGTGTGTGTGTGTGTGTGTTATTGTGACGACCAGAGACAGAAAGCTTCCTCTGAATACAAGCCAGTTCAAACCACTGATTCCTCGCTAAAATAGGCCCCCTCAAATCAAAATGTACGTTTTTAAGGTTTTAGTATGAATATGTTTGCCTTCAGGTTATGAATAAGTTGGTGTGTCCAAAACAACGACAAAATTCGCATTTAGGAGAAATAAGGGTAACACTTTACAATATGTGTGCACTAATAAGCATTAATTCATGCTTAACTAATGCACAGATAATACTGAATTAATGTGTAACTAAAGATTATTTAAGCTATTCATTAATGATTACCACATTAGGAACTAATTAAGAGCCTGTAAGGTTAATGTATTAGTTCATACATGAATTGTTATTAATTAAATATGTAATTGTGGATTAATTCCATAATAAATCATTTTTTTAACTAATAGTATTAATTAATATGTTAATTACCAGAATGAGCCAAAGCCTTGTATTTCAACTTCCAGATAATATGACAGGTACACTAATATGCATTAATACATGATTAATTACTTCATTGTTAGTGCAAATTCATGTGCAAATTACTACAATTACTAAATGACTGGTTAATAATGATGTGCCCCAACAAGTAAAGTCATAACATAATGATACCTTTGCAAATCATTAGCTAATGATTAATTAAAGCAGACAACTGGAAGTTGAAGTGCATAGCTTTGACTAATTGTGGTAATTAACACATTAATTGACACTATTAGTTAAGAAAATATGTTATTAAGGAATTAATACACAATGACACATTGAATTAATAGCGATTCATGTATTACTTAATCTAGTTGCTGATGCAGTAATCATCAATTAATGGTTTAGTTCTTTATGAGTTATACATTAACTCATGATTATCTGTGCATTAGTTAAGGATGAATTAATGCACATTAGTGCACCCGTATTGTAAAGTGTTACCGAAATAAGCATTTAAACGTGCAGTCTCTCACTTCCGCTAAAATGGATCAGGGATTTTTATGACATCACTGCTTCTCATCACATCTTCTGTCCAATCACATACTGTCTAGAATCTGAAGCTCCGCCCCCTCTGCTATGAACCCCAGCTGGCCGAACCGAGTGATATGTGTCGGAGATGTGAGTTCGTTTGCTCAAACGCTCCAGTTTTATCCCGCTGGTTAAGAATGAAATGAATGTATTCCTCCACTATTGAGTCCAGCGTATCAGATTCGCTTCCATTGTCAGTCTGTGAGGTAAACTGAACGCTATTGGCTACTGGAAAAGAGCTTAGCTTAGCTTCCTGTTTCAGTGGAGATTACACTGCAACCTCCCAGCGAGCAATTCTGTGTTTAAAAGAAGTCTAAAACCGTCTGGGCTAACACAAGGGCTGTCCGTGAACATTCAATAGAGGACTAACCGTCGCCCGCGCACAGGCTACGCACACAACATGTCAGAGAAATGAACCCCAACACCTTGTAATCACTGTTGACTTTGCTTACATGATGGAATCACACACATTTCGCCAGTTATTTTATCTGGAAGTGTGTTACCCGGCCGGACTACAGTACATGGGGTCTATAGTTAACCGAGGCGGTGAAATGACGGATATCGCTTGCTGGGTTAATTCAAATACCACAGAACGAAATTAATGTGATCTGTTTGGTTCGGCCACGTATGCAAATACAGACAGAGCGGTTTGCAGGATCTGTTTCGAGCACGTCTCGAGCTACGCCACAGTTCGACTCTCAGCGGATGCATGAAACGATCGACTGGACGAAAGCGCCAAGCAGAAGTGAGTTAACCTGCAGTTCCTCTACTGGCCACTAGAGGCGCTGCAGAGGAGACTCACTGCCATAGAGCCGCGCCCAACTTTACAGCAGAATAAACATGTTCACAGTCTGGGGCAAAAAGTGTTTTTGGTCTATATCGCCCTTCATGACGACTGTGAGGGGCTGACTTTTTTTATAACTCATCTATTTAAATTATATCAAGCCTTAAAGTGGACAATTAAGGGCGTGACAGGTGGATTGCCGCTGAAGTTACAACTAGCCTTTTGTCTGCTAGCGTTAGCGTCACGCCACCTCAGCTAATACGCCTCGTTGCACATGTTCGCTTATCCGGGAGTGACGCCAAGATGGCGACGACCGGCTCCGCCCACTTTGGGCTTCAGGAAGGCTCTTCAGAAACACTACGGGTGACGTCACACACACACACTACGCACATGTTTTGATACAGTGCATACCTGTGGCCTCCACCATGCCCTCCAGGATCACCACGATCTCCAGCTCCTCGTGGGCCAGGTGCTGTTTGGAGATGTCCCAGAACGGGCTGTGCTGGTTGATCTCGTGGCAGATGATGAGCGGGGAGACCAGGAACAGCCGGTCGTCTCCCGTGTCGTAGCCCACGTTCATGTCCGTCTGGTTGAGAGGGATGAACTCGCCCTCTTTGGTCTGCTTGGACTTGATGAGCTTGGCTCGGATGGACGCCTCCACGATGTGCGAGTTTCGCAGGTCTCCGACGCGGAACATCAGGCAGAGCCGGCCATCGCGGATGGAGATCACGGCGTGCGTGGAGAACACTAGCGTCTCGGCGCGCTTCTTCGGCTGCGAGATCTTCACGAACATGCAGCCCACCATGAAGGCGTTGACGATGGAGCCGAGCACCGACTGCACCAGCAGGAGCAAGATCCCCTCGGGACACTGATCGGTGATCACACGGTAGCCGTAGCCGATGGTGGTCTCCGTCTCGATGGAGAACAGGAACGCCGACACGAAGCCGTTGAGGTTGTTAACGCACGGCGTCCACTGGTTGTCCCCGATGTGCTCCAGGTCTCCGCGTATGTAGGCGATTAGCCACCACATGAAGCCGAAGAACAGCCAGGTCACGGTGTACACCAGCACGAAGATGAACAGGTTGAACCTCCACTTGAGGTCCACTAGCGTGGTGAAGATGTCCGTCAGGTAGCGGTAGGTCTCGCGCACGTTCCCGTGGTGCACGTTGCACTTGCCGTCCTTGCGCACGTAGCGCTGGGCCTCGGCTCGCTCCCGGTCCCGCTCCGGCTTGGGCTCGCCCCGCTTGGGCCGCTTGTGCTGTCGGACCGTCACGGTGCTCTCCACATCCGGCTCCATCGGGACTAATGGAAGATTCTGAGCCTGGAGAGACAGAGAGAGAGAGAGAGAGATGGGATTAGTTCACCACAGTCTTCGTCAGCATGTCTGCAGTTATTTTAGATTTTTTTTCTTCAGAATGGCACGAAACATGGAAAAGGTTTTGGCACTTGAGCACAAAAATCGTGGCCATGATCTGAACAGGTTTAATGGTCCTGAAAGCAGCAGTCACTCTTGTGCTCCTCGCGGTCAGTGGAAACGATTGAGTTTCCTCTAGTGGAAGCGTTCGGAACTGCAGCCGAACACACTCTCACTGAACGCTCACATGCCGAACACACACTGGTGTAGATTTATGGCTTTGATTTTCTTGCAGTTTTAGAGTAAAACGTGTTTTTGACGATATAGATTTCATATAATAAGTAGCATTTTTGGACATTTTTCATAACTTTTTTTTACGTTCGCTTTTTAAAACTTTAGCATTAATCTGCTGAGTGTCGTCTTTGAAAAGAGATCAAACTTCAGTCTGTCGCTCTAAAGCATTCAAGATTTACCACAGTTTAGGTTGGAAATTTAATTTTCAGGTCTATGCTCATAAAGTGAATAAATGGATTATAAATACAAACACCAATTTTAATAATAAATAAATCAGCTACAAATACCAAATTAGAATCTATATAGTAAGTAATACATGTTTCAAAGACACATAGTCCTAAGACTAACCTGTATACTCAAGTTAAAAATACAGAACAATCCATTAATAAAAATCCCACATGTATTTGTGCAGCTTTACAGAAACAACAGGAAAGTGACGCAACCGAGTGTGTTTCCAGAAGAGAAGAGCGTCAGTCCAGCTCAAGTCAGTTCAGTGATGCTCATTTCTGTTGCAAAAAAGTTATTAATTTAGTTCATTTATATATATATATATATATATATATCCGCTCTGGAGAAAACCGTGATGTCCATGACATCTTTATTGCATTTCAGCATCATATCAGTTTAAAAGAGTGTGTTTTGGTCACAATAAAGCGGCAGAGACGAGAGAGTGCGCTGGTGCAGAACCGTCCGCTAATGAGTGTCTTCTTTTCACACTCGGAAGAGCAATTACTGACAGCAACAGATTACAAACAGACAGGGGATTCAACTGACAATGCACACACACACACACACACACACACGCACACAAACATGCACGCACACACACGCACGCACACCTGTGTTCACTGACGACGGATGAACTGAACTGGACTCTGGGTGTGACGGTACATTCAAACCAGCATAGACAATGACCTTTGACCCTTAGCCGTAATTCTATATGACTTATGATTTTATTTTCACTTTATGATGAAACAGATTCAACACAGCTCATCTACTGAGACTCTCTCGCAGCTCAATCATCATTACACTGAAGCAATATTCTGAAGTAGTGTTTCGCAGGACCGGGCGGTTCTTTCGGCACAATTTGCTTGTGGTTCTCGGATTGGTGGAGATTCTCTGCAGAATTATGGGTAATGTAGTTTTTCGGTTATGTAGAAGCTGGTAGCTCACAGTGGAGCTGTGCTCGACAGGATAACTAAAACCTCCCCTGGAGAAATGAACGGGATTAACTTCCAGACCGAGTGTGGCTCTATCGCCTCTGGAAACCCTTTAACATGAGGATATGATCATTAATAACTCATGATTATGATGATCTCATTCAGCCATAACCTTCGACCGTAAGAATGTATATAGTTTGGAAATGTTGAAGAAAGGAGTGTGAGTGAGTGTGTATCACTCTCGTCTGATCTGACTGTCACTGCGTGAGAACAGCAGACACGTTACGGCTGAGGATGAAAGGAGTCACAGACGGACAGGTGTGTGTCAGAACACACAGAACACACAGAACACAACCATGACACGATTATATCAACCTGATAACACAAGCCCATCTGTGCATCTCTCTCCCTCTCTATCTCTCTCCCTCTCTATCTCTCTCTACCTCTCCCTCTCTCTCGCTCTACCTCTCTCTCTCTCCCTCTCAAATTTAAATTCAAATTCAAATGAGCTTTATTGGTATGACTTATACAGTATTGCCAAAGCATTGGCCATTACATAGGTAATGAACAAATAATCAATAAATGAATCAGTAAACAAATGCATGAAATACAGGGGTTGGACAATGAAACTGAAACACTGGCCAATGTTGGAGGTTTCACATCTATATGCCTGGTGGCCAATCTTCAGAGTGAAGCACGGGTGGATCAGTGATGGTTTGAGCTCCAATATCATGACAATCCTGATTATATTTGATGGACACGACACTGCCGAGGACTACCAAACCCTTCTGGAGGATCATGAGCACCTGATGCTCAAACCGCTCAAACCGCATGATCATGCACCAACACACACAGCAAGACTTGTGACAGAAGGGTTTGATGAAGATGAAAGTGAACATCTCCCATGGTCTGACAGTCACCAGATCTAAATATTATTGAGGTGTTTTGGAGGAGCGAGTCCACCAGCATCATATAGTGACCTGGACACTGTTCTAGAAGAGGAACGGCTCATAATCCCTCTGGTCACTGTGAAGGACTTCTATCTGACAATTGGTGCTGTATTTGGATGCAAAATGAGGCCCTCACCATTCTAACAAATTATTGTGTAGTAAAACCAGGTGTTTCAGTTTTTTTGTCCAACCCCTGTACATTTATACATCAAAATAAAAAAAATAAAAAAAACAGTTTTGAACCAACATTCTGACTGTAGTTTTGTCCACTGGCTGACTCTCGTAGTCTGTCTGTCCCCTCTCTCTCTCTCTCTCTACCTTTATCTCTCTCTCTCTCTCTCTCAGCAGTGATCGATCCATTAGCAAGCTGGACAACCTGCTTTACAACCTACAAGGAGAGGAGATTAACAGCACACACACACACACACACGTGCTTTAACGCCTCATTCAGATCCGCTCATATTTATTCAGAGAATAAACCGCGTGCTTTGTGTCACGGACGGACAAATGGACACAATATAAATAACACTGAACAAAAACTGAGAGACACTCATATTCATGAAGCGTCGAGGAGACAAAGACTGATGCAGAGAGACAATCAGCACATTACCATAGACAGGCAGACAGACAGACAGACAGAGAGACAGACAGACAGACAGACAGAGAGGTTGTGAGATAGACATGCAGACCAACAGACATATAGACAAGCTGAGGGTTAGACAGACAGGCTGAGAGATATACTGTAAAGACAGGTTGAGAGACAGACAGACAGACAGACAGACAGGCTGAGAGATATACTGTAAAGACAGGTTGAGAGACAGACAGACAGACAGACAGACAGGCTGAGAGATATACTGTAAAGACAGGTTGAGAGACAGACAGACAGACAGACAGACAGGCTGAGAGATATACAGACAGACAGACAGACAGACAGGCTGAGAGACAGACAGGTTGAGAGATATACAGACAGACAGACAGAGAGGCTGAGAGATATACAGACGGACAGAGAGGCTGAGAGACAGACAGACGGACAGACAGACAGACAGGCTGAGAGATATACAGACGGACAGAGAGGCTGAGAGACAGACAGACAGACAGACAGAGAGGCTGAGAGACAGACAGACAGACAGACAGACAGAGAGGCTGAGAGACAGACAGACAGACAGACAGAGAGGCTGAGAGACAGACAGGTTGAGAGATATACAGACAGACAGACAGAGAGGCTGAGAGACAGACAGACAGACAGACAGACAGGCTGAGAGACAGACAGGTTGAGAGATATACAGACAGACAGAGAGGCTGAGAGACAGACAGACAGACAGAGAGGCTGAGAGACAGACAGACAGACAGACAGACAGGCTGAGAGACAGACAGGTTGAGAGATATACAGACAGACAGAGAGGCTGAGAGACAGACAGACAGAGAGGCCGAGAGACAGACAGACAGACAGACAGGCTGAGAGATATACAGACGGACAGACAGAGAGGCTGAGAGACAGACAGACAGACAGAGAGGCTGAGAGACAGACAGACAGACAGACAGGCTGAGAGACAGACAGGTTGAGAGATATACAGACAGACAGAGAGGCTGAGAGACAGACAGACAGAGAGGCTGAGAGACAGACAGACAGACAGACAGACAGGCTGAGAGATATACAGACGGACAGAGAGGCTGAGAGACAGACAGACGGACAGACAGACAGACAGGCTGAGAGATATACAGACGGACAGAGAGGCTGAGAGACAGACAGACAGACAGACAGACAGACAGAGAGGCTGAGAGACAGACAGACAGACAGACAGACAGAGAGGCTGAGAGACAGACAGACAGACAGACAGAGAGGCTGAGAGACAGACAGGTTGAGAGATATACAGACAGACAGACAGAGAGGCTGAGAGACAGACAGACAGACAGGCTGAGAGATATACAGACGGACAGACAGAGAGGCTGAGAGACAGACAGACAGACAGAGAGGCTGAGAGACAGACAGACAGACAGACAGACAGACAGGCTGAGAGACAGACAGGTTGAGAGATATACAGACAGACAGAGAGGCTGAGAGACAGACAGACAGACAGAGAGGCTGAGAGACAGACAGACAGACAGACAGACAGAGAGGCTGAGAGACAGACAGACAGACAGACAGACAGAGAGGCTGAGAGACAGACAGACAGACAGAGAGGCTGAGAGACAGACAGACAGACAGAGAGGCTGAGAGACAGACAGACAGACAGACAGACAGAGAGGCTGAGAGACAGACAGACAGACAGACAGACAGAGAGGCTGAGAGACAGACAGACAGACAGACAGAGAGGCTGAGAGACAGACAGACAGACAGACAGGCTGAGAGAGAGACAGATGTTCAGAGGCGAGAGCAGCTGTAGTTCTGACGGTCCTCTGAGACTCAGATGTGGTTTAAACATGTCCGTGTTCCTCCTGAGAGCTGGAGAGGATCAACACGTGTGTGTGGAACAGATCGACCGAGTCCAAAAGTAGCTTCAGAGAAAAATCACCCTCTGATCTCAGTCGACATGATCACACACACATCAGAGACAGAAACAGGTCATGATCACACACACAGACATGTTTCCGTCTCGTATGTGTGTGTGTGTGTGTGTGATCATGACATGTTTCCATCTCTGGTGCAGACTGATCTCATGAAGTAGCGTGTGTATGACACGCCAATTCGTATTTCCATTTTTGGCGTGCTATCAAGACGCATAATCGCTTTTCAGTGTGTTTATGAACGCCGTTGACTTAATGTTATATAAATATATGACTTACTTCAACCCCGTCCCTAACCCTAACCATCACTGGGGTTAATGGCATTTATGACTGTTCCCTCACCATCCTAGGAAAGAAAATATCGCTCCCCAGATGTAGATCTGCATTTTGCTTCGTTTCGCGCGGACATTTGTATGTCTACGCCATTAACGTCCGAGTGATTCCGCGTGTCACGCGCATACACACAGATAGCTCAAAATGCGTAGAGATAACACGCCACTTGACTCGAAGCGTGTATATTTACGCAAAAGTCATGATGTCATGTTGCAGTCTGGTGTGTGTGTGTGTGTGTGTGATCATGACATGTTTCCGTCTCTGATGTGTTTGTTTTGGGGCATAGAAGGACAGATTTCAAGACATTTCAAAGAGCAATGAGGACCCTCTGGTATATGAGGACAGTTGGCTGTCCTCATAAAAATAAACCTTATAAAACCTTTTCTCAGCATGTTTTAATACCCAAAAAGTGGTTTTCTCAAAAGTCTTCATGTACCAAAAACCTGACATATCCAATAGTTTTAAGTAGAACTATGTTATAGTTTTCACACATGAGCAGTATTTTAGTGCTTCTTTTCCCTGGGATTTGCAAATGTTTTTTTTTTTTCAATCTTACATTTTCCATGAGGGTGATCACGTCAATTAATATATATATATATATATATATATATATATATATATATATATATATATATATATGAGAAATATATATAAGACATGCATACAAGAGAAGTATAAAAAATAGGGCTTTGACAAAAATACATGTAGGGTTACAATAGAAAAACTTTGAAGATCATTACAAATATAATTGTTAATACTTTTTAAGAAATTAATGAAAGTAACAGGATTGACAGAGTAACTGAACATGGATGACAGGACATATTATTCAGTATACACTGGAAATATTTGTTTACATAATATTTTAAAGTTTTACATTTTTAAATTGCATTATATTATTTTTTGCACTCTTATAGTTGTATTAGTGAAGCACATTACATTTCTAAGAGATCTAAAGCCCTGTTTCACAGACATGGTTTACACCAGTGGTTCTCAACTCCTTATTTAATACACCTGATTCAGATCTTTAGCTCGAGCTGAGGATCTGAATCAGGTGTATTAAATAAGGGAGACATACACAATATGCAGAGCAGTGTGCTGCAAGGACTAGAGTTGAGAACCACTGGTTTACACTAAGCCAGGATTAAGCTGGTGTGCATTTTGAGACAAAACTATGACTCTGACATATTTTAAGATCTGTCAATGCAAGTTTTTTTGAGTTAAAACAGCTCAGTCATGCATGTTAGTCTGGGACTAGCTTAAGCCTTGTCTGTGAAACCGAGGGCTAATGTTTTAGGGCATTGAAATTAGATCCTTTTGTTCATCTGTCTGTCGGTGTCTATCTCCTCACAGAACTTAAAAGGTATTGATATACTGACAGCAGGGAAATTTTATGTGAATGTTATGAAAGCATAGCTCAATTGAAACTGTTTAAATATCCATGTAGTGAGATTAAAAGTAGTGTTGAGATGTGAGAAGATGTGGTGTTAACATTTTTGTTCTTAATTTCCTTAGCAAATTCAGTCATGCCACGGAGAACTACTCCCCTTCAGGATGCCACTAATCACATCCTTGCTGGAAGAGACAAGAGTTCAATGTTAGAAATTAAATATATTAATCCTGTTAAAGGTAAGTGACTTTGACACACTGTAGGCTAGCCTGAGGGGTTGCACGTTACTGGTTCTTGAATTGATATTATAATTGTTTTCAGTTTATCACTATTAATTTTACAAACATTAATAAGGTTGTGTTTGCAGGTCGTGGTATCTTCACTTTAGCTGTTTTCAATCAAGGAGACTTTGTGGTGGAGTACAGAGGGGAGCTCATTGATGCAGCTGAAGCTGAACATAGACGTAAACTGTACCACAATGCATGTTCGACCTTCATGTTTGAGTTTAAATGGAAGAGGAAGACATGGTGGTAGGTTCAGAATGACTAATATGTTTAGATTTCTATTGTGAAGTCAGGATTTCTGAAGTTGGGCTTATGCGTTGCGACGTTCGTCTGTTATAGGACAACTGAATAAACGAACGGACACTGATTAGCTACTTGCTCTACGTTTATTTAAAATTAACAGCAAGACAACTTGATGTGAATGTGCTTTCCAATAAATGAATCACACACAGTAAACAAATCCTTAACACCAAAAAAACTTTGCAATTTAGACGCGCAAACTGCGTTGCGGTGAGACGTAGCTACATGCTCGGGCAGATTCGGTTAAAAGTCGGTCGTCTTAGGACACGGCGCCACGCGATGTTGGGGTCTTGCCGTTCTTGCGCACCGAACGTGCTATTTTTGCCGCGCGCACCTTCATGCTCGTGCGGACGCGTCGAGTATATACAAGGCTTTACTCTGTGTCAGCGGTCAACCGTGTTACTCTGATTGGTAAAGCGGCAGAGATTTCAGACCTCCGTTTATTAACCGGTCACACCCCATGTAGAACATTCATGTTTGAACATATAAACATTTGTCATTTTTGCTCAGTTTGCAGTGCTGTTGCATGTTTTGTCTCGAAACGCATATTTGACAGTGAGTTGACAGTAAATCTGCATCCTAACTCAAGCTAATACTACTATGTTAAATTAATGTTCATTAACAAAAACAGTAACATCTGTAAGATGACCATATTTTTATTTGGTAAAATGTAATATTCTGACTGTTTGATTTTTATTAAAATTAACCATTGGTCATCCAGTATCATGCGCTTGGATCATGATAACCACAGATAAAGCCAGACATATCCTATAACTTAGCACCTCACTATCATGGCAAATTGTAACTTTATGGTTTCTATGGTATTTGTATGAAAAACAGTAGCCTAAATACATTATTAAATACTGTAATTATATTTTTATTAGTCATTTAATACATTTTCTACATTAATAATATAATACAATTCAGTATATACCTAATTTCATGGTGCAGTTAATATTACTAGGCTATCATTACAGTAAATCCATGAAAAATGGATTCAGTATCAATTTAGATTCTGACTGTACCGTTGCGCACAGTGTTTCTCCTGTTCGTCAGTGTTGTTTCATCTGCCTTTAAACTGATTTAAATCACTGAGACATTAGTGTTCTTCACTGAAGTCAAGCGCTTCTCACTGGATCTCGTGAGCGAGATGATGAGAGTAAATGCGTCTGCTCTGGTGAGCTCACGCTGCGCTGCTGCTCGGACTTTGAGCTGAGCGGATAAATGCTCCGTGTGGTGCGCGATTCAAGTAGCCTGACTACGTCAGACTTGTACTTCCGCTCAATTTCATTTCGCTTCTGTACATCGACATCTCTCAGTAGCGCCCCAGCGAGAAAGAAAACTTTTTAATTGTGCCATGCCAGACTCTGTCTACGAAGCAAAGCGAAGTCGCAGAGTTTGGTATTACCAGACTATGGTTCAAGTGAGTTTCTTTCTGCTTTTGGTGCATAAACTTTATCAAACTGTTGATATCGTTTTATCAAGAAAAAATGCATCGAACTATACTTTTAATACAACTGTATGTTGGCACAATTCAAAAGTGTTTCACTATAAACGTCTGTTTAGTACATGATGTTTGTATATTTTCAGTATTGACGGAGCTCTTGAGGACGGTTCTTTTGGGCGTTTAGCAAACGATGAATTCAAGGCACCGAATTGCAGAATGAAGTTGATCGAAGTAGAAGGGAAGCCACATCTCTGCCTTTTTGCTCTGAAGGAAATTACGGCAGGAACTGAAATCACTTATGACTATGGTGGGAAAGATTGGCCCTGGCGTAAAGAGGTGGGTCACTTGTCTTCTTTTTTTTCCCCTATGAATTGGTGTCATTGTTTAAAGCCTATATTTTGACATCTTGATAACAATGCAATCATCTGTCTTAAAAGCTAACGTGTGTTATGCTGAGTCAGTTTCATGATGCCACAGAGATTACACAATACCTATCGCTTATTAGTGACATTTAGAACCAAAAAAAAAAAAAAACAGAAATCACTGCTTTGTAGTATTCAATCCAGTTCTCAGTCAATCTTGTCAGGTTAATCTCAACTTTGCTTGACTCTCCCAGCTGATGCCACCAAGCTTATCTGTATATGTTGTCCTGTATGTTTTTAGATTCCCCCTACTGTTACAAGCATTTCTGTCCAAGAGTCTACTAAAGACAGTGTCCAAGACCAAATCATGTCATCCACAGTCTTTATTGAAGGTCGGTGACTTTTTGACTTAATGTTTTATCTAGTTGTCAATGGTGTACTGTAGATGAGTAAGAAACTTTTATGCCACATATTGCCATGTTAACGGAGATGGTTTTACAGTAGTTATGGTGGGCATATAAACTTATTGTGTCTATAAAGGATGTGAACCAGTGGTTGCTTCTAGAGTGACCCACAACCCCACACTCCCTGGTCTTGCTCATATTCTTTTCTGTATTCTGCAGAGACCAGAGAGAGACCAGAACTCCAGTCCTGCAATATGACATCAGGCTGTTCTGCTTCTGAGGTAAGGCTGAATACAGTGTCTGTTAAAGCAACATGTCCCATTGTTTTACAATGGCTAAGGAAATGTCACAACACAAAGCATCACCACATACACCTGGTATAGTTTTATTGAATGAGGGCACAGCAAAACGTAATTAATTATTCGGAAGTAACAGTTCTTCCGCAAAATATATTTTCTGTAGCTGAATTGTAGGCAAGTAATTCACAAATGCAGACAGCGTAACTTTGTTGAACTAACAAAGGAAAAATGCAGCCAGAGATGTGACGTTATGAGAATTTTCCAAAAGGATCCAATGTGATCCAGCCAATCATATTCAAGGGTCAGAACATTTTAAATTGTTACTCTGTCTTAGTCAGGTCAACTATACAATAACACAGTTGTGTAGGTGATGTCCAAGTTCACATGTGCATTTTCTGTTTAACTTGTTTAGACACAGCTTAGTGGTGCAAGCTTCTCTTCTGGCCAACACTCCGTTGCAGTGCTTGGTGACCACACCCATGACTTGGAACCCAATGTTTTCTCTACAGATTTAGTCAGAAGTGAGTCCCTCTTGAATAAGCAATGCCTGGGAAATACTGGGGTCCTGTAAAGCACTGTGCCTTCATGTCCTGTGTTCTCTTCAACAGACACTGAATTGAGAGCAGAGTGTCAGACATTCAGTCCCACACCAGACAGCCCTGAGCATGAGGTTAGTTTGAATTCAGCTGTTTATTGCGGGATGTCTGAATGTTTAGAATTAAGGGACATATTTCTGAATTCATTATCATACTGCAGATACAGTCTGAATATCTTTGTCTGTAAAGAAGGTCATTATTTAAAATTTTGTTTCCCTGTCTACATCATTTTGAGTGTCATAAACTTAAAGGTTTGATTGAGGGTTTGATTGAGGGTGTCCCTCTTAGGTGAAATGGACACTGTACCAGTTGATGCCTGTTCATCTTAGCATATTGCTGTTTGTTTTTTTTTAGGTGCACTGTGTCAGAGGTCAATGTGGCACTTCTGAGAAACCAGGGATTGGTGAAGTTGATGTCCAGCCCCAGGAGGGCTCGCCCCCTGTGTCATCAACAGACCCTGCCAGTGGTCAGTTATAGTTTTGAGTTAACTTCTGGGAATGCATGTCATGCCTGCTGAGGGTTTACAGGGTCGCCGTGATTTTGCCAAGTAATACATGGTCCTGGATCAACATATTTTGTTGATCCTGGATTAACATTCCTGTCCCAAATTTAGTCATTACCCAATCCCTACCCCTAAACCTAACCCTACCCATAATTTTTCCCTAAAATTATAGGGTAATGATAGGTGAAAAACACTGATGTTAAAGTACTTCACCCTGATTCTAAGCCTAAACTTGACATAAACTGTAAACTTGTTTTATGATATGAGGAAAGCCAAGCACTGAATCTTGCGTGTTCCCTTGTACAGAGACTGAACCGAGATCAGAGTGTCACGCATCCAGAGCTGCGCTGAATGACTCTGCTTGTGAGGTGAGTTTGAATTCACTTGTGTTTTGAAATTGACCAGTGGTTAGAAGTAATGGGATGTTCCTTGGAACAGTTTTCAGTGTTTTAATAAACCTCTTACAGCTACAGTACGGTGGTTATGTCCTCTATTCAGGATGGATGGTCTTTTCAAATCACGGTGTCCCCCCAACACTGGATTTTTTCTGAGTGTGCCACACACTGGGAGTTCAATAGTGGAAGTCTTAGTTTCAGCATGGATGTCATTGATAGTCCAGAGGAAAGTGTCCTCACATACCTAGAGTTTGTGTGTGTTACAACCTGTCCTAACATAACATGAATATTCCTGTAACACACACAGATGTAGAAACTACAGCATGTGCTTGTAAAGTGGCTAGTTAAGGAATAGGGTTTTCCCTATTTTATATACATTCTTAGTTGTGGCATCTATGTGTACCTATATGGTTCATGGACCATGGTCAGCTGTTTCTTGCGGCTTGATGGTAAAATTATTTTTTTTCAGTGACATGTCTCCCCTATACAAAATGGTTCCTAATTTTGTTAAATATTCTGTCTTTGCACATATGCAGTATTATCATCTGTGCCAGTTGATGCCTGTTCATCTTTGCATATTGCTGTTCTTGTTTTAGGTACACCATGTCAGAGGTCAATGTGGCACTTCTGAGAAAGAGGGGATTGGTGAAGTTGATGTCCAGCCCCAGGAGGGCTCGCCCCCTGTGTCATCAACAGACCCTGCCAGTGGTCAGTTATAGTTTTGAGTAAATGTTGTTGACTTCTGGGAATGAATGTCATGCCTGCTAAGGGTTTAAAGCATGAAAAACATCTGGCACTGTCAGGCTATTTTTAGATAATTATTTTATGGTTTGATGGACATTTTGAGTAGGACTTTGTCTATCAGGGATGTGAGTTGACTATGTTTTGCCTATATGTGGTTTTATGATATGAGGAAAGCCAAGCACTGAATCTTGCGTGTTCCCTTGTACAGAGACTGAACCGAGATCAAAGTGTCACGCATCCAGAGCTGCGCTGAATGACTCTGCTTGTGAGGTGAGTTTGAATTCACTTGTGTTTCGAAATTGACCAGTGGTTAGAAATAATGGGATGTTCCTTGGAACAGTTTTCAGTGTTTTAATAAACCTCTTGCAGCTACGGTGGTTATGTCCTCTATTCAGGATGGATGGTCTTTTCAAATCGCGGTGTCCCCCCAACACTGGATTTTTTCTGAGTGTGCCACACACTGGCAGTTCAATAGTGGAAGTCTTAAAGTTTGAGCATGGATGTCTTTGTCCTTGCATACCTAGAGTTTGTGTGTTACAGGAATATTCATGTTATGTTAGGACAGGTTGTAACACACACAAACTCTAGGTATGTGAGGACACTTTCCTTTGGACTATCAATGACATCCGTGCTGAAACTAAGACTTCCACTATTGAACTCCCAGTGTGTGGCACACTCAGAAAAAATCCAGTGTTGGGGGGACACCGTGATTAGAAAAGACCATCCATCCTGAATAGAGGACATAATGGATGGGCAGCTTCTGTCCTGCAGAGTTTAGCACCAAGCCGAATTAAACACACCTGAAAAAGCTAGTCAATGTTTTCAGGATTACTAGAAAAGAGTTTGTCAGGGTTGGAGCTAAACTCTGTAGGACAGTGGCCCTCCAGGACAGACGTTGCCCATCCTTGATATAGTTACACATAGATGCCACAACTAAGAATGTATATAAAATAGGGAAAACAATATTCCTTAACTAGCCATTTTACAAGTACATGCTGTAGTTTCTACATCTGTGTGTGACACAAACTGTCCTCACATAACATGAATATTCCTGTGTCACACACAGATGTAGAAACTACAGCATGTACTTGTAAAATGGCTTTTATATACATTCTTAGTTGTGGCATCTATGTGTAACTATATCAAGGATGGGCAACGTCTGTCCTGGAGGGCCACTGTCCTGCAGAGTTTAGCTCCAACCCTGACAAACTCTTTTCTAGTAATCCTGAAAACATTGACTAGCTTTTTCAGGTGTGTTTAATTCGGCTTGGTGCTAAACTCTGCAGGACAGAAGCTGCCCATCCATTATGTCCTCTATTCAGGATGGATGGTCTTTTCTAATCACGGTGTCCCCCCAACACTGGATTTTTTCTGAGTGTGCCACACACTGGGAGTTCAATAGTGGAAGTCTTAGTTTCAGCATGGATGTCATTGATAGTCCAAAGGAAAGTGTCCTTACATACCTAGAGTTTGTGTGTGTTACACACGTACAAAGATTTTTACCTTTTTTTTCACATTTTTTTTTTTACTTTAGTTTCTTAGAATTGGCTTTACTTTTCTTGCTTTGCTTAATTAGATAGTCCAGGTTTAATCAACCTATTTTCTTGCAGTTTGAGGTTATGTAGTGCTGTGGCAGAAGTGGTAGAAGTAAATCTTTCTCTTTTGTGTGTGTGACAAGTGACACCCCAACAGTTAACCAACCTAAACATAAGTCATATGAATTGAATTTACTTCGCTATTATATCTCAAAAGTAACTTATTTCCCCCTTTTTTATCTCTCCTGATTTTATCTCTTGGTTGTGTGAAAGTAAAAAAAAACTCACACAAAAAAAATTAATTCATGATATAATTTGTGTGTGTAAAGGTTTTATATTTATATTTGTTTTAAAAAAATGTTTTCACAGTGTACAGTCCATAAGCTGGTTTTTGAACTGGTGAGAATTGACAAATGCTGGATATGCCATTCACCTTTGACATCTATCAAATGGCACGGTGTAAGATGCAAACGTAAGTGTGTTATTCATCTTCTCCTAATTAATGCATTTCTCAGTACACCATAAGTTGTTTAATTTCATGTTATCGGTCAGTTCCAGACTCGCACCTATAAAGCATGTTGATTGAATGTTTTATCAGTTCAAAAACCATTGCGGTGGAAAACACTGGAGTGGCAGATACTATGACGTATCAGGCAAGTGAGTTTGCAAGCTGAGGCACATAGCAAAGAACAGAGAGCATACCTGCAAACTTGTTGCCTTTTGGCTAAATTTACCATTTTGGCATTTCTAATCAGATCGCGCAGGGTTTCCCTAACCCCTGGAGACTTTCGTTTTTGGATGTTGAACAAGTTCTTAATTCCTTTGCTGTGATCATTTATATTATTAGGCTAACTGTCCTATTGCTCTTTGTTGATTAGACTTAGGCCTAAGTTAGGCTACAACGTAAAATTCTCACAAATGTTTTCTTCTTTCATCCGGTTCGCTGCAGCTCAGCTAAACGCGTCTTTAATGGACTTTATTCATTGGTGTGACCGAAATAAAATTACAACTTATAGATGAGTTGTTTGCAATGTTAACCCAATCGCACAATAAGCGAAACATCGCTGTTTGAATTTGTTGTAGACAAAATTTAACGATCCCATATTTGCGACGATAACAATGCAAAAACGGCAGTTCTTTGTTTGATGTGCTACGTGAACATAGGGCAATATTTGTGCTTCTTCGTCAGCATTTTTAAAGATTCGCTTGGCTGAGAAGCATAATGCACAAACATTTCATTATGTCTAATGAGTATCAACAAGCATATGCCCTCAAGTCCGTGGTGCACTCATGTCATTGCTAAAGTCTTTCTGTAATTATGCATATGCTCACAAACTTCAAATAGGATGTTAAACCCTTTGAGTAGAAACTATCAAACTTGCAAATTTCTTTTTGTCTGACCAATAAGCATTTCCAAGTGTTTTTTTCTTCTAACTTATATATATATATTTTTACTTCGTGCCTTCCAATAAGTCACTGGGCCTTATTTACGCATCTGAGTTGATGATAGTTTCAGTGGGCTTTTCGAGTGGAATTAGAATTTAGTTTGGCTGATTGAGATGATAGATGAACTGTATATAAAAGCTCATAATGAACAAAAAAATTAGGGCTAATAAATCAGGACCTAATTCAATAGAGCCACCAAGCAATTGGCTATCCAAATGCTTGGAGGTGTCTCCACACCTTTCCAATTACTTTCCTTTTTATTCTCACTAGCCTTATTAATTAATGTAGGATGAACATTTCATAATTTCTGTTCCCCATTAGACTATTCTGCCAGAACTCTCTGGGCCAAGGATGCATTCTGAATCATAGCTTGTATGGCCTCACACCTTCCATATTGCACATTGAAAAAAGAATGTGTTTTGTCAGGTCAGACTGTTAATGTGTCTGTTTTTACAATAACAGTGTTTTAAAATCAGAATCTCAAATCCCTTGATTGTTCGGACAATGCCATATATCATTTGTATGTTTAATTCTGTTTGGAAATCCCATCAGAATGCACCATTTGAACAGTCATTTTTCAAAAAATCTGCTTTTCATTCTGAACTCACTTTATGCTTAAGTTTTCAGTTCACTTTATGTGTATGTTTAGTGGTGTTGCTGAATTTATTGTGTGGGATCACTACATACATTTTTAACTTTGACTTTGAATGGGTAATGTAAATGCTCTGCCACTCCAGTGAATTCTGCCTTAATGGTCGAAACCTGTCTACTTTTTGTCTAAATGGAAAGTTTTAGCCATCACTCAAACTGTGCATTTGTACTGAACAGTTCATTTTGTTAGTATTTCTTGATCATTAGTGTGAAGCTGTTTGCATTTAATAAGAAAATTAGTATGTAATTGGTCAGCATGGGGAATTGACTAATTGTTGTCTAACGCTGCCTAATTTTGTCTGTGAAGAATGTTCTGGTGTGTGGCATAAAATCTGCCTCCAGAAATCCTCAGAAGACTGGGATATTTCAGATGTAAGTGTGCATTGAAGTATAATATGCTTAATATCAATATGATAGCTCTTAGCAGTTTGTTTTTGACATCCATCCTTCCTATTTGTATTTCTGTTAAAGTATGCTGTTAACTAAATTTAATTTCATTAATTAATTTAATGTACTTTACAGGACGATGTCTCATCTGGTGACGAGTACATCCCAGCATCTGTATCGGATTCAGAAAGCTCAGGGACAGAGTTGAGTGTTGAGTTGCCTGGACCATCCAAAAAGTCCCATACCACTAATTTGCCTGATTTAGGTGTTACTTTCCCTGAACAAGACCAGACCATAGATATAGAGGACAACTCAAGGGATATCTGTAAGAATATCCTGATGGATCTAGAAACTACTGGTGATCTCCAAAGTGACCCAGAACCAGAAAGCTCAGAGTCATACCTGCAGAAAACAAAAGATGCGAGTAACGAAAATGGTACTGTGGATGTTCTTGGCCAAAGTAAATCCCCAACCAAATCAGCGAAATTCATTAAAAGCCAAGTCAATTATTGTTTTGTATGTGAAAAACCTCAAACAAAATTTGCACGTCATCTCGAGAGGCATGTCAATGAAAATGCTGAAATCGCACAGGCGCTCCAGTTCCCCAAATCATCAAAGGACAGAAAGGTTCTTCTTGAGAAATTCCGAAACCTTGGCAACTTCAAGCATAACTCTACTGTTAAAACCACAGGGTCAGGCTGCCTTAAAGTGAAAAGGAGTTCCAAACAGAGCAGCAGCACTGAGACTTACGATTACTGCTTGTACTGTAAGGGTATGTTATCCAGAGCCGAACTTTCTCGGCACATGAAGAGATGTGCTCTAAGACCTGAGAATAATACTGAAGAGGGACCCGAGTTTAGAGAGAGAGCCTTTGGTATAGCATCTGCTCAGTCTACAATGTCCCAGCCAATTTCAAGTGAACTTTGGTCCGTGTTGGGCAAAATGCACAGGGATGACGTGTCCACTGCAATAAGGAATGATCATTATATCATGCAGTTTGCCCAGTCCCTCTTTAATAAGCATGGGAATGACAGATCAAAGCATGAGTATATAAGACAGAAAGTACGGGAACTTGGGAGATTACTTGTGACTTTGCGCCACACAACTAGAATCCATAACATGGAAGAAGCGATAAAACCATGCAACTTCTTTATTCTTACTAGTGCTGTCAAGAGAGTTTCAGGTTTTGATCATGAAAACAACACTTTCAAAGCCCCAAGTTTGGCCCTGAAAATTGGGCATTCTCTCAGAAAGATAAGTGACCTCATCATGTGTCGTGTCCTCATGGAAGAGGACCAAGAGGCGATCGATTCCATCAGGAGGTTTCATGCACTTCATGAAACAAAGTGGTCTGAATTAGTTTCCCATTCTGCCTTATCTAACCTGAGTGAGGCAAAATACAACAAGAGCAGCAGGCTTCCACTGGCCAAAGACGTTCAGAAGCTACAGTTATATCTTGGTCAGCAAGTGGAATTGGCTAAGGAGAAACTAGCCGAAGACCCAACAACAGGCACTTATGCAGCACTAGCAAAGGTGACCCTCTGTCAAGTCATTTTGTTTAATAGGAGGAGGGAAGGTGAAGTGGCACGGATGACTGTAAAAAATTTTGAAGGTCGTGACATGTCACAGCTAAACGATGACATAAGCACTGGGCTGACAGAAGTTGAGAAGAGACTTTGCAAACAATTCGCCAGAGTAGAATTGAGGGGGAAAAAAGGACGAAAGGTTGCTGTGATCCTGACCCCTGATATGACTGCTAACCTGTCACTCCTCGTTAGTAAGCGGAAAGAGTGTGGAGTAACAGAAAACAACAATTACCTGTTCGCTGTTCCTTGTAGTGATGGTCACTACAGAGGGCAGTTTGGTAAATATGCAGATGCTTGTGGAGCCGAAGACCCTCAAAACCTCAGATCAACGTACCTTCGCAAACAGATCGCCACAATAAGCCAAGTCATGAACTTAAAAGATAATGAACTGGACCAGCTGGCCGATTTTCTCGGCCATGACATTAGGGTGCATAGGGAGTACTATCGACTGCCCCAGTCTACAATTCAGCTGGCTAAGATCTCAAAGCTGCTTATGGCTATGGAGAAGGGAAGTGTGAAGGATATTCAAGGAAAATCTCTGGACGAAATTGGTGGTACGTATCATTTACATGTTGTTAAATCTACTTTGGTGTATGTGTAATAAAATGAGTTAATTTTTTCAATGTCATTTAATAGATGGCATAGACGACGATATGGATACAGGATCACAACTACTCCTTAATGTTTCCACATTGCAAGGTACTGTTAAATTGGGTTCCAAGGCTACTGAAATTGTTGCATTCCGTGTTGCGGATTCTGTAATTGTATTGCTGAAATATTTACAATAGGCTTTTTTTATATATATACACATTTAGATAACTGTCTACTGTTGTTTAAAAAAATTAACTTTTTAAAATTAACCTTTTATTGCCTACCCTCCTTGCTGTGTAATTGATACCAACTTTTTTTTTTTTTTTTGTCTTGTTTTGTTTTTAGACAATGAAGAAATGTTGGCTTCTGGGACTTTTGAATCACCTCACCTCTCCGAGACTGCAGCTCAAGGTATAATCTGAATGAAGGACCCAAAGTTTGCCCAACAAATATCATGTAATCATTAGAGTTTATTAAAATGTTTTAGTCAGGAATTTTCCAGTAGTATGATGGTTATAAACTTGGCTAGTATTTTGATGTGTTCAGTAGTTTGCATGATCATTTTAAAACAACAGTGAAGACTTGGACTGTGTAAAATCTACATCATTTCCTAGTAAAATTATCACTCAGGTATTGTTGCACAGTTACGCTCTCCTGACTTTATCCGGTTCAACAACTTTGCCATGAGTATACTTATTATAATATAGAATTGGCTGTCTACAGTGCTACATGTATCCCCTCCATGCCCATGGTAGGCACTGGCAGACAGGCTCTTTAAGCCCATACATTTATACTGTGCAATATTTTTTTTTAGATGACCAGGGGAACGCTGCCTGTGTAACTTCCAGATCACCTCATCTCCCCGACTCAGTCACTCAAGGTATTGTATTAATGCGATGCCATGTCCATCACTAGGCACCACTTATGTGCAGTCAACACTTGCATTGGTTGGCAGACAGGCTCTTTAAGCCCATACATTTATACTGTGCAATATTTTTTTTTAGATGACCAGGGGAACGCTGCCTGTGTAACTTCCGGATCACCTCATCTCCCCGACTCAGTTACTCAAGGTATTGTATTAATGCGATGCCATGTCTATCACTAGGCACCACTAATGTGCAGTCAACACTTACATGGTTTGTTTAGACGTATAAGGTATTAAAAGAAGCTGGATGTATTGTTTTTAATAAGGAGTGTTTTAGCAGAACTAAAGTCAATTTATTATCACACACATTGTCTACACAAGTTCCAGCTTGTTTGTCAATTTTGAACAGCAACATCCCTACCTACAAGTACATCTTGATGGCTCTTTTATCTTTTGTTTTTATCTTCTAATATTTTTTTAATTGTTCAGGTTTCCATGTCAAATCTAGGCGGTGTGTGAAGAGACCATGGTCTGAGGAGGAGATACGAGCTGTGATGAAACATATGAGGCCTTTAATTGAAAACGGTGTCACTGCCACCAGTGAGCAGTGTCTGAAGTGCAAGGAAAAGGAACAACCTATCTTGGAGAAAAGATCCATTCAGAACATTCGAGATTTTGTTCGCAACAGGGGCTTGGTGTTTAAAAGACATTCAAATGCTAAGCGCTAAATGCACTTTTGGATCGCCTTAGCCTTTACCTTTCTAGTCATGTTTTGCAAGTTGCTGTTCTATGTTCAGAAATGTTTTAGGTCACTTAAAGGTTAGTTCACCATAAAAAGTATAATGATGTCATTTAATGACTCGCCCTCATGTCGTTCCAAGCACGTAAGTCCTCTGTTCATCTTCTGAACACAGGTTAAGATATTTTAGATTTAGTCCGCGAGTTTTCTGATCTTCCATTGAACATGTGTGTACGGTATACTGTCCTTGTCCAGAAAGGAAATAAAGACATCATCAAAGTAGTCCATGTGACATCAGTGGGTTAGTTACAATGTTTTGGAGCATCAAAAATACATTTGCTCCAAAAATAACGAAAACTACGACTTTATTCAGCATTGTATTGTCTTCCCAATCTGTTGTCAACTTCACAGTGACCCTGCTGATGACGTGTTGATCTGGTGCACCCGAGCGTTGTTTACTGTCTGGGGGAGACGCACACTGTATTCAAGCTATTCTACATTGTTTGTATTTTAGTATTGCTATATTTTTTTATTATTTTTTTTTTACAATGGTGCGCCAGTGTGCATGTCGCAGATCCTAATCGCCAAAAGCGCTCGGGTGCACCAGATCAATACGTCATAAGCAGGGTCACTGTGAAGTTGACAACAGACCGGGAAGACAATGCAATGCTGAATGAAGTCGTAGTTTTCGTTATTTTTGGACCAAAATGTATTTTCGATGCTTCAAAACATTGTAACTAACCCACTGATGTTACATGGACTGCTTTGATGTCTTTTTTTCCTTTCTGGACAAGAACATTATACCATACACACATGTTCAATGGAGGAACAGAAAACTCTCAGACTAAATCTAAAATATCTTAAACTGTGTTCAGAAGATGAACAGAGGTCTTATGGGCTTGGAACGACATCAGGGTGAGTCATTAATGACATTATTTTCATTTTCAGGTCAACCTCATCTTTTATTTTAATTTATTTCTTTTATTATTAAATGCATTTTAATTATTTTATTTATTAATCCTTTATTTTGCTTACAGGCAGTTTTGTTTTGTTTATTTTGCTATGTGGTTACCCTGGGCCTTTTAATGTCAGGATTCACTTATTTTATATGTAAATTTTTACAATGCTGTCCTTTTAAGGAATGGATTCTTGAGGTGACCAAATCAAATATATTTCAGTAAATCAACAAATGTTGTGTGTTAATGACCAACTTATATTATTTTCAACATTTTTAGCTTAAATGCAGATGAATTATGTTTAGTAGTCAAACATGGTAGATTTTTATCATGAACCTATCTACATACCTATAATATTGATACTCTAGCGCATCTAAAGTCAAGGTCAGCCGAGTCTAACACTATACTCTAGCACGTCTACACATTGACAGCGGCTATGTGTTAATCCTATACTCTAGCGTAGAGGTTTACTTCCAACCTGCTTCAGCACACCTGCCTTTGTATTTTCAAGCAAACCTGAAGAGCTTGATGAGCTCATTCAATTTATTTTTAGAAGGCATCTCACGGAAGCTGTAGGGTTGGCAATTCGGTAATATATTCCATATTATTATAATGGTGTGCCTTAGTCACTTTGGTCTTATAATCCATGTGTCCTTTCAAAGCAGGTTATATTTGGTGTTTGTGTATGGTAACTTGGCCTTATACACCTTCTGTCCTTTCAAAGCAGGTTATATTTTGTGTATGTGTATGGTGACTTGGCCTTATACACCTTCTGTCCTTTCAAAGCAGGTTATGTTTTGTGTATGTGTATGGTGACTTGGCCTTATACACCTTGCGTCCTTTCAAAGCAGGTTATATTTGGTGTATGTGTATGGTCAAATCATTGACCCTGCACACCACAATGTCCTTATAGCCCGTGTTACAGAAAAGTCTTCACAAACCACCAGAAAGTCTGAAAAAGAGCCATTTTTTATATCTCAGTTGTCCAAAGAAAATCTTTTAATTTTAAGTCGTGTATAGGTTCGCAGATTTTTTTTATGATTTTTGATATATATTTTGTAGCTCTAGCACCACTGGAACCCGGTGTCCCCGTAGCCCTATACCCAGTCTGATTTGCCAAAAATTTCAAAAATTGTCCCTGTAGCCCAACAAACGGGTATGTGTGTGTGTGTGTGTGTGTGTGTGTTTTCCTCAGCTCAGTCGTATCACTCTCTGTAAATGTTCTAAAGTCATGTGAATGCGTTGGGCTCGTCCTGACAGAGAGAGAGTCTCAGGCAAACACTGACGGAGAGCCGCACATGTGCTTTAAACTGACGCAGCGCAATAATAAAACAATAATACAATATACATCTACCAGCACTGCCGATCTCTACAGCATCGGTGACCGTTTTCCAGAAGCAGTGACAGACTTCTTGTTTAGGTAGTTTCAGTTCAATCGTTCAATAAACAAAAGAATGAAAAAAGGAGTGTAATGTTTCGTGTAGCCCTGACTTCAAAACCAGTAACTGAACGTCAGAAAAATGGGTCAAAAACACGAAACATTTCATCTCATCACATTCCATCATGCAAAACATCAATCATGTAAATAATGGCATATTTTCAATTCAAAATGTTGAAATTTGAGAGTTGTTTGCATCACTGGGTATTACTGTCGCCCGCTGAACAGTGAACAATAATCAATAAAAGAACTACATTTACCAAAACAAGAGAACACTCCACTACAAACAGGGAAAGCAGCAAGTAAACTCAATACCAGTTAACCCAGTTAACCCTAACCCTAACTCAATACCAGTTAACCCAGTTAACCCTAACTCAATACCAGTTAACCCTAACTCTAACTCAATACCAGTTAACCCAGTTAACCCTAACCCTAACTCAATACCAGTTAACCCAGTTAACCCTAACCCTAACTCAATACCAGTTAACCCAGTTAACCCTAACCCTAACTCAATACCAGTTAACCCTAACTCAATACCAGTTAACCCAGTTAACCCTAACTCAATACCAGTTAACCCTAACCCTAACCCAATACCAGTTAACCCAGTTAACCCTAACTCAATACCAGTTAACCCAGTTAACTGCGGCTAACTGCGCAGTTAACTTCCAAGCACCTGACTTTTAACACCTGACCTTTACCTGCTGACCTTTACCACCTGATCTTTACCTGCTGACCTTTACCACCTGATCTTTACCTGCTGACCTTTACCACCTGACCTTTACCAGCACCTGCTTTACCACCTGACCTTTTCCAAGCACCTTACCTTTACCACCTGACCTTTACCAACTGACCTTTACCACCTGACCTTTACCACCTGACCTTTACCAACTGACCTTTACCACCTGACCTTTACCAACTGACCTTTACCACCTGACCTTTACCAACTGACCTTTACCAGCACCTGACCTTTACCACCTGACCTTTACCAGCACCTGACCTTTACCACCTGACCTTTTCCAAGCACCTGACCTTTACCAACTGACCTTTACCACCTGAGTTTTACCAGCACCTGCTGACATTTACCAGCACCAGCTTTACCACCTGACCTTTACCACCTGACCTTTACCACCTGACCTTTACCAGCACATGACCTTTACCACCTGACCTTTACCAGCACCTGACCTTTACCACCTGACCTTTTCCAAGCACCTGACGTTTACCAACTGACCTTTACCACCTGACTTTTACCAGCACCTGCTGACCTTTACCAGCACCAGCTTTACCACCTGACCTTTACCACCTGACCTTTACCAGCATTACATGATCCTTCAGTCCTGCTCTTACATCCACAGCAACACTCAGCTCCAGTCAAGGGCTCTCGACCTCTGACCTTTCAGTCAGCGGAGTAGGCTGATCTCTGAATAAGCGGAGCAGGCTGACCTCTGACCTCTCAGTCAGCATAAAAGGCCTGACCTCTGACCTCTCAGTCAGCAGAACAGGCTGAGACTTTTTTTTATTTTCCAACTAACATTAGTACTATACAATATAGTATAATTTACATCTTAATACATCCAAATAAAAAAAACACCTTCCCGGGGTGTACTAATTGATTAATTCATCAAAAACTGTATATTCATTAAAGATATGACAAGCTTTTCTTGCTTTTTTATTGATGTTCTCCAGACTGGTGCAATAATCTTCTAAATGAATACATTTTGGGGAGGATCCTGGTCATTTCTTCTTGTGTAATGGCAAATGGACTGCATTTATATAGCGCCTTCATAGACCTAATGGCCACCAAAGTGCTTTACACACACCTCACATTCACCCATTCACACACCGACAGCGGTGTCAGCCATACAAGGCCACGTCCAGCTCGTCGGAACACACACACACACACACACACAGCTGGGGTTAGGGGTCTCGCTCATGGACACCTCGACACTTGGTCAGGTGGAACCGGGGATTGAACCACCAACCCACATGAACCACTGAGCCACTGCCGCCCCAATGTAATGAGATTATGAACTTTCCCAAAATAATAATTATTTATTAATTATTAATATTACTTTCATTGGAATAATACATACATATATCAAAGACCGTCTGAGACCTGCTGATGAAGAACGACAGAGTAATGATGTCACTGGACAGAAGAACTGAACGCGCTCTCTTCTCTCAGAGGTGTTTGTCGAACGCCGGCCGTAATCACTGTGCAAACACACACACCCACACCTGAACACACACACACACACACACACACACACACAGCAGAGCTCACCTGGCCCTCAGCGCTGAGGGATGCTGGGTAATTCATACGCCGCCTGACTCAGCACAAAAACCATCGAGAACACGAGTTAGTGGAGACGAGAGCTGAACCTCTGATTCTCTGAATGTTAAGTCTATTTCTGGCATTGATAAACAGCTCGCTCACTCTCAGTCGCTCACTGGTCATCATCAATATTTCATATTTCTTCAGTCTCGCTTGGCTCGTGTTGCAGAAGCAGCTGGAGATCTCACGGAGGGTGTCCGATAAACACACAAACTCACAGCAAGATTTACGAGAGGCGAATGAAATATAGACATGTTCACATCACAAGCGTGAATAAATCATAATGCTTAATATGATCACTTTAGACTTCTTAAAGTCCAGTTCAATCTTAAAGTGTCAAATCACTACATATAGTAGACCTAATTCACATTTATATCTTAAACAATATTTTTTAGAGCATTAATATGACATTAGAGTCACAAGTCATTTGCTCTTATCATCTGATCGTGGTTGTATCTCTCTATTAGTGTTACTCGATCTCAGTGCTGCGTTTGACACTACTGACCACAATGGTATCAAAAACTATGTTGGCATTAGTGGAACCGCATTAGCATGGTTTAAATCACACTTATCTGACCGTTATCAGTGTGTAGCAGTAAATGAAGAGATGTCTTATCCATCACGAGTTCAGTATGGCGTACCACAAGGCTCAGTACTAGGACCGCTGCTGTTCACTCTGTACATGCTACACACACACACACACACACTCACATAATGCAACAAACAGAGTTTGTTTCCAGAAGAAAATAGCGTCACAGTCCAGCTCAAGTCAGATCAGTGATGATCATTTCCGTTGTTAAAAAGTTATTAATTTAGTTAATATATATATATCCGCTCTGGAGTTAAACCATGATGTCATCGTCCAGCTCAGTTCAGTTCTTATATAATCCTGACAATGCAGGACATCAATAATATATTAAATGTCCCGAACTAAGCAAGACAAAAGCCAAGGCGACAGTGAAGGATCCAGAACTCCATCCGTGACAGACTGGAGAACCCGGGGTTCCTGATGTTCTCGTTACATCATCAGAAGAATGACATCTACGATAATGTTAGTCTCTCTGGTTCATCCTCATTCAGAGGTTTACCGTAATCAGCCGGATCTGGGCCGTATCCAGACCAGATGTTGGACCTGCACTGATCCTCAACAAAGAGCAAAGTGCCAATGTGTGAGAGTGTGTGTGTGTGTGTGTGTGTGTGTGTATTTGTATTAAAGTTCAAAACTGACCCAGCATGTGTAAAACACTATCCTGATCATCATCAAATTTCGTAATAACGTGTAGCGCGATATAATTTGACTGTAGTTCTGATATCAGACTTTGGATCGATCAGCATTGTCATGATCACGAGGACGGTCGAGGCACACACACACACACACACACACACACACCTCACAATCAGACCCAACAAACATAAAACAGTTCCAGATCGGAGGAGAAAATATGGCCTTCTGTTTTGGCTGCTCATCCCTTCGTACAAATGTGTGTCAAACACTCTTTGCTCCTCGCTGGTTCTACACACAGGTGTACTGAGCAGAAACAGGGAACAGATCCTCTAACGCTCAGCGTGTTCTGCACAGAACCGGAACAGTTTGACCAGGTCTCCCGTGTTTGACGGGGAGGGGAAATGTTCCTCTTTCACTGGGAAACATGAGCCAGGCAGCCATCGCCATCGCCATGGCAACACACATCTCAATCCCTCAGCCGCTCACAGTGGCAGATGCTCGATGTGCCAAGAGAAGGGCTGGCGCTCTGGATCGCTCTCCGAGCTTCTAGAACCCGATCGCTGGCGCTAAAGCGTACACTAACACTGGAGAGCTGAGCACACACTGCAGGTCAAGAGACAGGCTTGCGTAGGCGTCACAATCAAATCCCGTGGCATGTTCAGGACTGCATGGAATAATTCGATTTGTGGAGATAATGTACGGTCTGTGGTCACAACAACCAGGAGAAGAACTGCATCATTTCATTAGAGCTTCTGCATGTCATTAAACCAGCTTTCAGTCAGAAGCTGAGCTGAGAAAACACTCTTTTCTTTAGGTCAGGTTCAAGATCTAGAGACTCGATGTTAAAAAGTTGAACTTATTTTAAGAGCATCGCGTATTTAGAACGGCGCGTCAAGCGCGTTTACATTGAATGGAATAAACGCGTTCCCTGCCCGTCACTGCACGAGGCCTTCAGTCGGAGCTCTCCGCGGTGCTGGAACAGAACACACCATCAGCACGAGCACGAGCAGTAAAGCAGCGCGCGCTAAAGTTTCATGTGCATGAAAAGTTGCATGACTGTTATGCAACACAAACAGAACACGCAGAGCCTTATGAAGCTGGCGTCTGGAAATACACCATCTGACACACAACTGAAGCCCAAAGAGACGCTATTTAGAGAGAGAGAGAGAGAGAGAGAGAGATCGCACCTCGCGCCGGGATTTTTAGGTTTCACGCGCGCGCTTCTGAACGAGCGGGTCTCCATGGAGACGGTGATGTGAGAGGCACCAGAACCCACTCAAACCGAACCAGATGATGAAGAACAAAGACGAGCAGGAGATGAGCGCGCAGATCCACAGAAGTGCGCGTGTCGTGCCGCGAGCCACTGTTGCTCCTCCGCGAGGAAGACGATGATGAAGAAGAAGATTCTTAGATTACTAAACGCTCTCGCAGGCGTCGTTCAGCGCTTACGCAACCCTCCTTCAGTTCTCTCTCTCTCACACACACACACACACACACACACACACACACACACACACACGAGAAACTGCGATTACAGCTATGGAAGAGTAAATACGACACATACCAGACAACGCGTTCATTCATTCCTTCTTCATCCTCTTTCAGTCTTCAGTGATGTTGTTGTCGATGATGATGATGAAAAAGCGACGCTGAGAGAAACCCGAAGAGCCATCATCATCTTCATCCTCCCATCCTGACATGATCTCTAATGAGCCAGGACGGACTGAGAGAGAGGAGGGGGAGAGATAGAGAGAGAGAGAGAGAGAGGGGGGGGGGAGGGGGGCGGAAGATTCATCTCACGAGTTCGCATCTCTGCTGTTTATTGAGCTTTCGCGGGATTCTTCAAACGCGAGTATAATCACATCGAGAGCAACTATAAGCGCAGAATGCAAAAAGCGCATTGCTCGTCGTGACGCAAACTCCGAATGCATCAATGCTACATGTTTAAATGTCATAATCATTTAATTTGTAAAAAAAAACAAGTATTCATTACTATAATGAGCTCATTATTTCTGCATTAAATTATTACGTTGTCTTTCTCGCTAATGATGATTTTGTACGTAGGCCTAGCTACATTTCTGAAATACATAGCGAATAATAGGCTAGATAACAGATCACGGTAAATTGTAATATGGACTCATGAAATTGAAATTATGTGTATTGAAAAGCGCTATACAAATAAACGTAATTTGAAAATTTAATTGAATCATTAACATCCACATTTTGTCAAATTCACCTGCTCAAACATTTTCGTTTTTACAAATATTGTAAAATCCTCCAACTCCGATTTTTAAGTAGTTTAGTGTTTTTTCAAATCTGAATTAAACCACTTGAAAACAACACCTGGTGCCGATCCGGGTCGTTAATGAACACAATATTGATCGGATCCGCACTAACAATCCGTCTAACAAACTGTGTTATTATTCATAGACTATTCTCTGATTCTGTGGGTGAGCACATCAGATAGATGGATGGATGGATAGATAGATGGATGGATGGATGGATGGATGGATAATTTTCTATTTAAACTGGAGCATTTCTGTTGCTCAATTTGTTGAAATTGGTCAGTGTTTGTTTGGACGGTCTTGTGTCCATTTCCATCAAATGAACAAAAAATAACACACACTTACAGGGTGGGGAATAACGATCAGATAATACACATAAAGATGATACAACAATCTGCTGATCTGATCTTGTTCCTGGTCGAGGGCGTTTGGAACATACACACACACCACACACACACACACACACTCACTCACTGACACACTCGCTTGTGCATGCGCACACACACACACGCTTGCGTGCACACACACATACACAAAGACTCATGAAAGGCAGCGAGCAGCAGACACCACATGACCTCTGCTGTGACACACTGTGGGAAGCATGTTTGAGTGTGTCAGAGCAGATCAAAGGCCACACACACACACACACACACACACACACACACACACACAGTTAGCGGATCTGTACGTGTTCAGTGTGATTTCCTCGCTGATGTTCATGAACCTCCAGACCTCACTGCATATTCAGCACTAATTAACTTCATTACTGTGGATTTTACTGTCATCAAATCAAACATTTTCATGGAAACACACACAAGTGTGTTTGAGACCTGATGATCTGCGTGTGGGAACATTACGACATTTCGGTCTCCACACCTTCATTATTTACAGTCACTTTGACTGATTTGTCATGAACACATCGAAAATCTGCATTTATGGAAGCTGCATTTGCATCTGCAAATCAAAACCTCCAAAGGCCCATTTGGTTTACTTCAGTCCATAAACAAAACAAAAAACATTTAATTTTGTTAAACTGTATGTATAGAGAAGACTGTGAGCCGTGAAATATATGATACACCGGTGACTTACCAGATAAGAAGTTTATCTATGTATAACTGTATTTATTTCTCTTTTAAATCCTGTTTTAATTTTCCTTGCTGTTATTTTGTAATTATTTTAATTCCTTTCTGTGAATTACTGTGAATAGTGTATGAAATCTGCTATATAAAAAACGTGCCTTGCCTTGATGAAGGTTACTGGACGTTCTTCTGCTTAGAGCATTTGAGGCGGTGCGTCTCCGAGGCCTGTGTCAGAGGCGTCCGCTCGAAGGATGAAGGGTTAGGGTTAGGGAGGAGTCTGGAGCTGTCTGTCGTCTCCCTCGGCTCCTCCTACTGTACTTTACCTGGCTGGCCCTTCTTCTTCTAGTCCGGGTCTGTAAAGGGGCAAGCCAGAGAACAGAATCCCGTAACAGAACATCTATAATACCTGGCAAAACCTAGGAAGGCACGTACCTGTTTCTTTGTAGAGGGCCGGCGATTCACCCTGATGGCCCTCTTGCGGTTCAACCAGTCCCCTTCCAATGCAATAACCCAGGTATTGTGCCTCTGAAAGCCCCAGATGACATTTTTGAGGGTTAGCCGTTAGTCCAGCCTGATGTAGTGCGGTCAGACCCGGGAAAGCCAATGCCCTGACGGAGTACTGAAGGCTCTGTATTATATATAAATGAATTATATATGACTTATAAGTCCAGCATGGAGATATACCGGGCCCTACTGAAGCATTTAATGAGTTCATCCACCTGAGGCATGGGGTAGCTATCGAACTCCGACACTTCTGACACTATGAGTCATTGCAGAAGGGGACGGTGCCGTCAGGCATGGGGACTAGCACAATCGGGCTGGACCACGGGCTGGAGGAAGGCTCAATGACTCGTAAGCGGAGCATTTTTTCCACTTCCTCTTCAATGGCTTGTCGATTCTGCAAAAAGGCCGCTGCCAAAATGTGACACCAGGTAATCATGTGACAGGAGGAGAATAAATCACAGAACCTTTGGATCCGAGCTTCCAGTTCTTTCTTTTGGTGTGGGTCGAGCTGGGGGTTTGGCTCTACCACAGGATCAACTTTGTCTGCCGTCAAGGCCCCCGCCGGCCATTCTGGGACCCAGCGCTTTAAGATGACGTGGTAGATCTGCTCACCCCTTTGTCTCCCATGCTGACGCAAACTATAATTTACCGGTCCAACTCTCTCAACGATGGTCAACGGGCCCTGCTAGGAGGCCAGGAATTTACAGGCCACTTTGGGTACTAAGAGCAGGGCTTGGTTGCTGCAGGGAACGCTGGGATTCAAGTCAAGTCACCCTCATCTAAACAGTGCTTTCAACAATACAGATTGTTTCAAAGCAGCTTTATAGTGATAATAGGAAATTACAGTAACAGAGATTGTTTGGCTTTAGCAGCTCTAGAATAAAGTTGTTGTCCAGCTAAAGTTAGTTTGTGTTTTATTCACTTCTATTGCAGAGATCATTAGTTATTAACTTAGAGGCCGCTTACACAAAACCATTTTAACTGAAAACTAAAACTTTTAATGCGTTCTGCCCTTTCATTTGCACGACAACAGTGTTTGGAGATCGAAAACGCAAACTTTGAAATAGGTTCCAAGGTGCAGGTTTTCATCTCTGTGTAAACTTCAAAAACGTGAATCTGTGAAAACGGTGACTGCAAGCACATGCACGTTATGTGTTTAGTCTATAGGAATGAGCATTTGAATATACGCAGTATATGTACGCAGGCGGGTATTCTTTCTTTACAAATTGACATTGCCAAATTACTTATCCGGCGTACAATATAATTTTTTTGTTGTTTCCGTGTATCCATGCGAAATGGTGGTCCATGTATCCATTGAACAAGGTGGTCCTTGACCAACTCAAACATACTCAATCACCATACGGTGGAGGTAAGGTTGTTACTCCCAGGCCTCTTTGGCAAAGTCTAGCAGCCCGCAGAGTTGTCGTCCAAACATCAAGTTCAAGTTCTAGAGCACATATGGGATCACTCGGTCCCAGTCGCACCCATCCCATCCTCAGTCACCACCCGTTTTAACATTTGCTTGAGGGTCTGATGAAAGCGTTCCACCAGGCCATCTGTCTAGAGGTGGTACACAGAGGTGCGGAGATGTCTCAGTGTATCAGGGGGTGGTGATGGGGCAGTGGATAAGACACATGCCTTTGGTGTGAGCTACCCGGGTTCGAATCCACTGTGAGACACCAATGTGTCCCTGAGCAAGACACTTAACCCCTAGTTGCTCCAAAGGCGTGCAACCTCTGAGGTATATAGCAATTGTAAGTCGCTTTGGATAAAAGCGTCAGCTAAATGAATAAATGTAAATGTAATGTCTCACCTGCAGCAACTTACCTGGGAAACAAAGGGGGTGCCCTGGTCCGTCAGAATTTCAGATGGAATCTCCACTCGGCTGAAAAGGGCAAACAACTCTTGGGCGATGGCCTCGAGTGGCCCCGTGCAGACTTTGGCATCAGCCCCACGATGGACTAATTCCCCTATAAAAAACAGTTTATGGAAGTTGAAGTCCCTTTGCTAACATGTTTTATATATTAGCCTATATTACACGAGATATGCCTTGTATAACAAGTCATTCTTTACAATGAAGTGTGGAGAGATGTGTGGGGGTGGCTGGTGTTCGGTGACCATTGATTACCCTAGCTTGTGACCAGCAGTGTTTCAAGCGATTGTCCTCTCGTTGTTCTCTTTCTAGGGATCTGCTGCGGTGTCTGCTGAAAAAGATCAGAGAAGACTTCAGATTAGTTT